CGGAACGCCAAAGAGGACGGACCGCAGAGGTTGTCTGAAGGCCAAGATGGCGCCGCTGTCGGGTGAGTGCCGGCCGGGGCCGCTCCCGCCGCTTCGCTGCGGCCTCTGCTCCGGCGGAGCCGCAGGGTCCGGACCGCCGCCCTTGAAGGGCCCGGGGCCGCGCGGGGCGGGGCTGGCGGCCGCTGCGGGGCGAGGAGGCCGGACGCGGAGGGGCCCGGAGCCCTCGGGGTCACCCTGGCGGAGGCGGGGTGCGCTGAAGCTCGCGGAGCGGCCCGGGGTGGGGAGGGCTGCCTCGCCCCAGGTCTTCTCCCCCAGGGCGGCCCCGCCCGCCCCAGCCGCCGCCCCGCGTGGGGGGACCCCTCTGCAGGGCGCCCCTGCCCCGAGCGCTGCTGCCCGTGCCGCGTGGGGGTGGGCGGTGGCTCGCCGCTGCGCGCGCTGCCCATCCCCGGGGGTGGCCCAGGGCGGTGCCAGGCCGTGTCTGAAGCCCCCAGCCCCAGCCCCGGGAGGACGGCGGGCGCACGCGGGCTGGAGCGGGCTGGGCGCTGGGAAGGGGCCGGCTGGGTGCCGCTAGGGGCAGGGGGTCCCGGCGGGGGGCCCTGGGAGGGCAGCGGCCCCTGGGGCGGGGCGGGGGGTCACCCAGGAAGGCGGCCCCGGTGTGGAGCCGGGTCTAAGCCCGGGAGTGACGTGGGCTCGAACTCTGGGAGCCCTCGGCGCGGAGGGGGGAAGGAAACCCCAGGGGGCGGGGCCGCGGAGGGGCGGGGCCTGGGGTGGGCCCGGCTGCTGACCTCACCCCGTGCCCCCTCTGTGTGCAGCCCCCGGCCTGCTCTGTGTCCGGACCCTGGGCCTGCGGTGAGTCCGTCTCCCCGCGTGACCGCCTGTCCTAGCTCGGTGTCACCGCCCGGCTGGACGGGGCGCTGGGCGAGGGGCTGACCTCAGCGTGGGTGGCGAAAGCCTGCAGGCCCCTGCCCGGGGAGCCGCCGGACGTCCCCTCAGCCATGCGTGGAGGGCCGGTCTGCAGGCGGCCCGGACTGGCCCACGTGGACGCACACTGGCCTGCTGGCTGGCCACGTGCCCCCCCCTTACCCTCTGGGCTGCCATGGGGGAGGGGGCTCTGGCCGGCGGCCCGAGGGACAGGGGCTGCCGTGCGGAGGCGGACCCGGGGGGCGGCGGGCGGCTGCTGACCCGGCTGTCTCCTCGGCAGCGCCGGCGTGACTGCGGCTCTGCAGGTACGAGGTGTGCAGCGGAGCGTGGCCGCCGAGGGGCCCAGCAGGTGAGGCTGGCCCTGCCCAGCCCCGGCCCCCGGCCCTGCCCTGCGCTCTGCCCCGTCCCGCCCGTCCCAGCCCCGTCCCGGCCCTGTGCTCTGCCCCGTCCCGCCTGTCCCTGCCCCGTCCCGCCCTGCCCAGCCCCGGCCCCCGGCCCTGCCCTGCGCTTTGCTCCGTCCCGCCCGTCCCGGCCCTGTGCTCTGCCCCATCCCGCCCTGCCCTGCCCAGCCCCCGGCCCCACCAGCCCCGAGAGCAGCCGCCTCCCTCGGGGTGCTCCCGGGTGCTGCCCCGGAGAAACCGCCGTGGGCCAGGCGTGGCTGACGCCTCCCCGCGCCTTGTGTCCCCGCGCCCAGCACCCAGCCCGCCGTGTCGAAGGCCGGCGCCGTTGTCCCCAAGCCCCCTGCGCTTCCCCGGAGCCGCGGTGAATATGTGGTGGCCAAGCTGGACGACCTCATCAACTGGGCGCGCCGGGTGAGCCCCGCCCCCGGCCTGGAGGCTGCTGCTGCCCAGGATCCACCTCCTGGCCCTGCCCCCCCCACCCCACCCCCCGCGGGCCCGCGCCCTGCGGCTCCCTCTTGTTTTCACGCGGAGCCAGGAGCCAGGGTCCTAAGACGGAAGCCGCGCGTGCCGAGGTCCGGGGGCCCTGGGGGCTGAGCGGCCGTAGTGACCGCAGAGGGGGTTCGGACCCCGGGGCGGGGCTGCCCGTGCTGGCGGGGGCGGGGCGGCCGGGACTCGGGGTTGCCCCTCCCCTGACGTCCTGTCGGCCTCGAGGTCAGCAGCCCCCGTGGCCCGCGCCTGACCGCGCCCCGCCCCCCAGAGCTCGCTGTGGCCCATGACCTTCGGCCTGGCCTGCTGCGCCGTGGAGATGATGCACATGGCCGCGCCGCGCTACGACATGGACCGCTTCGGCGTGGTGTTCCGCGCTAGCCCGCGCCAGGCTGACGTGATGATCGTGGCCGGCACGCTCACCAACAAGATGGCCCCGGCGCTGCGCAAGGTAGGCCCCGCCCCGGCCACGCCCACCACCCCTCGCCCCGCCCCGGCCCCGCCTGGCCCCGCCCCGGCCCCGCCCCGCACGCTCAGGGCCCCGCTGTCCCCGCAGGTCTACGACCAGATGCCGGAGCCTCGCTACGTCGTGTCCATGGGCAGGTGAGCGCCGCTCGGCCACGTCCCGGGACAGCCTGCTGCACCCCCCAGCCGAGCGCCCGCCCGCGGCCCTGCCCCCGGCCCTCCCTCGCCTTGCGTAGGTGCGGGAACCCCTGACCCTGAGTGGCCGCCCCAGCGCCTGTGGCCACGAGCCCGCCTCCCGTCCTGCGGAGCCCGCTGTCCTGGGCTCCGCCCCCCGCCCTCGCCCCCCGCGCGGTAGCCGGCGGGAGAGCCCCCTCCCCAGACGACCCAGCGCGCTCCCGGGAGCAGGCGGGGCCTGCCGTGGCTGCTGGGAGGGGCCGGCCGCAGGGCCCGGGCGGGGGGTGGCGCAGGCTCCCTCGGGGAGTCGGAGGGCGTCCGCCCTGCCTGGGGTGGGCTGCGGCCGCCCCGGGGCGTCCATCGGCCCCCATTTGCTCGCGAGGCTCAGGGCCCCTCGGCAGGCCCTCCCCCGGCCGTCGGGCAGGCGCGGGGGGTGCGGACACAGGAGCCCCTCCCCGCACCCTCCCCGCAGCTGTGCCAACGGCGGGGGCTACTACCACTACTCCTACTCGGTGGTGAGGGGCTGCGACCGCATCGTGCCCGTGGACATCTACGTCCCAGGTGAGCGCCCGAGGAGGGCTGGCCTGGCGCCGGGCGGGCGTGGCCGGGGCGTGGCCGGGGAGCACGGGTGGCCGGGGCGGGCTGTGCGGGCCGGGTGGGCGTGGCCGGGCGTGGCTAAGGCGCGCTGCCCGCAGGCTGCCCGCCCACGGCCGAGGCGCTGCTCTACGGCATCCTGCAGCTGCAGCGGAAGATCAAGCGGGAGAAGCGGCTCAAGATCTGGTACCGCAGGTAGCGCCGCCCCGCCCGGAGCCGCCCGCCAGACCCCAGACCCCGAATAAAGGCCCTGCCGCGCCCACCGCCCGTGTGCTCTGTGGGGGGCGGGGGGGGGACCCTCACGCCGCGAGGACCTGGCGCGGGCCCACCCACACCCCGCACGGCGGGGCCGAGGCTGCCCTGGGGCGGGGGGGGGGACCAGGCCTGGCCCTCCGCTGTCCCTCCGCGCTGGCACTGCCGCGGCCCTGGATGACGGCGCACACGGCAGACGCTGGGCCACCCGGAGTGTGTGCGCGCACACCCGCGCCGTGGGGGCTGGGGCCAGGACCCTCGCCCAGGGCCCGAGGGCGGCGAGCGGGGGGCGGCCAGCGGGCACCGGGCAGGTGTGGGCGGGGCCCCGGACGTGGGGTGAGGCGAGGCGGGAAAGGAGCTCGGGGCAGCAGGTGCGTCCTGGCCGGCCAGGCCGGGGCAGCGTTTATTTGCCCTCGAGCCCCGAGGCGGCGGCGCGGGGGAGGCCGGGCGGGCGGGCGGGCGGACGGCGCTCAGTGCTTGGTGAGCAGCGGCGTGATCATCTGCGGGAAGGCGTAGTAGCGGCACTCGGCCGGCGGCGCCAGCGCCATCACCTCCACGCGGATGTTCTCCCGCCGGAAGCCGGCGTCCAGCAGCGCGGGCACCTGCGTCTCCTGGGGGCGGGGCGCCTGTCACCCAGGGCGCTCTGGAGCCCCGGATGCGGTGCCGGTCCCCCGGCCGGCCCCCTGGGCCGGGATGGCCGAAGGGCAGCAGGGCGGCCGGTGGGTGCCGGGAGGGGACAGTCCCGCGCCCCTGGGTGCAGAGGCCCCCCCAGCCCCCCCGCGGGCGGCATTGGCACCTCGAACATGGTGGTGATGTCCGTGTACTGGGACTTCATCAGCTCGCCCCAGGAGGTGAGGTTGCAGTAGGTGAGGACGCCTCCCGGCTTCAGCAGGCGGAAGGCGTGGCTCTGGGGGGGTGGGGGCGGCGGTCAGGGGGGCGGGGTGCCCGTCTGCAGCGCATGCACCCCCGCCCCGGCCCGGCGGCCCACCTTGATGAAGTTGAACTGGTGCGTGTGCCAGGTCTCCTCCGACAGCGGGTACGTGTCGTACAGGATGCCTGGGGGGGGAGGCGGGACCCGTCAGGGCAGCCCCCCCAGGGTGCCTGCACGGAGGAGGGGGCGGGACCTGTCAGTGCAGCCCCCCCAGGGTGCCTGCACGGAGGAGCGGGGACCGTCAGGGCAGCCTTGGCTGAGCCGGGAAGCCCACCCGCCACACACACGCCTCACCACGTGAGGCACCCCTCGGGCGACTCCCAGACCCCTCACCGTCAAAGTGGCCGTCCGGCAGGGTGGGCGCCACCTCCTCCCACAGGCCCTTCAAGGGCACCACCTTGGAGACAGGCAGTCAGAAGGCGCACAGGGACCCAGCCCCCCGCCCGCTGGAAGACCCCCAGCCCCTCGGCGCTGGGCCCCCCCACGTGGCACGGTGGGCGGGACGGGCAGGGGGCACCTTGTGGGGCTGTCGCGGGGCCCAGTCCCGCAGCCGCTGGAAGACGCCCAGCCCCTCTGGGACATGGCACAGGGGCGGGGGCACCTTGTGGGGCAGCCGCTGGAAGACCCCCAGCCCCTCTGGGACGTGGCACAGGGGCGGGGCACCTTGTGGGGCTGCCGCGACCTCCAGCCCCTCTGGGACATGGCACAGGGGCGGGGGCACCTTGTGGGGCTGCCGCGGGGCCCAGTCCTGCAGCCGCTGGAAGACCCCCAGCCCCTCTGGGACATGGCACAGGGGCGGGGGCACCTTGTGGGGCAGCCGCTGGAAGACCCCCAGCCCCTCTGGGACGTGGCACAGGGGCGGGGCACCTTGTGGGGCTGCCGCGGGGCCCAGTCCTGCAGCCGCTGGAAGACGCCCTCGTTGCACTCGATGATCCAGTGCTCCTCGATGGGCGCCTCCTGCACCTTGGAGGCGGCGATGGCCATGCCGAAGCCCACCTCCAGCACGCGGCCCCCTGCAGACGGGGGTGCCACGTCACGGCGCAGCCCCCGCCCGGCTGGGGAGGGGCCGCAGGGGCTGGTGTCTGGCTGTGAGTGGCGCTGGCCAGGGCCCAGGAGGGCGCCCTGGGACAGCGCAGGCGGAGGCAAACACAAGGCAACTGTCCAGCCGTCCTGAGAGGGAACAGAGTGGGTGCTGGCCCTCGGCCAGGGACAGGGTGGCAGGACAGGGGCGGTGGACACAGCCGCTCGGGCCTGCCTGGCCCCGGGACAAGGTCAGAGCCTTGGACTTTGAGCCTGGCCAGTGCCGAGTGAGCCCCTGGCCCTTATCTCGGGCTTTGGTTACTTTGCTATACCCTGCCCCCTGCTGTGCAGTGGGCAGCGGGTCAGCAGGGGAGGGGAAGGGCTGGACCGCGCGGCCCCGCGCAGTGAGCGTGCCAGGCCCTGGATGTGCCCACCCGCCAGGCAGGAGCGGGGAGACCACGGGAGGGACCTGTTTCGGGGTGCCCCATGCCCTCTGACGCCAGCCCCAGGCCGGCCAGAGCCGCCCCCCCCCCCCCCCCCGCACACACACAGCTGCGCCCGCGCTCAGCTTTCCTGGAGCTATTCTTAGGCCAGGCGGGGCCTCCCGGGGCGGCCCAGTCCCCACGTCCACGCGACTCACGACCTCCCTGTCCACGGCCATTCGCGAGCCGGACGCCGAACTCCCCGCAGAGTTCCTCTTGCGAGGACAACCCACTTCCTCGCGCACGCGCGCGCGCCCCCATCCGGACCGTCCCCCTCCGGGAGGCGGGGGAGTCCGCGCCCTGAGAGGGTCCTGCGGGCCCTCGGGGTCTCCGCGGGGTGCGCCGCCCTCCCCGCCCGGGCTACCTGCAGAGGAGGCGGCGGCGGCCAGCGAGTGCATGTAGGGCGCCTCCCAGCGCTCCATCACCGGCTTGCCCAGGATCTGCAGGTGCGCGTCGGCCGCATCGTAGGCCGCAGGCGCCGCCTGCCACGCGGGCCCGCAGTTCTCGCCGGGCGCGAAGATGGGGGTCGAGGCGGGGGCGCTCATGCTGCGCGCCGCTCGGTGCCGGGACTGGGATCCGCCGTGCCCGCGGCCCGCGGCCCTGCACTGCCTTCTGGGGGCGGGGGCGGGCCCGGGGGGCGGGGGGCGGACCCGCCAGCCGACGCGCGCCGCGGCCGGAGCGGCCCCTAGCGGCTGCGGGCCGGGCCGGGAGCCGTGGGCCTGGACCCTCGCCTGGGCCTCCGCGCGCCCTTGCTGCGCTGCCAGCACGGGGGACCCTCCCGGCGCCCCTGCAAAGCGCCCGGAGCACAGTAGCCCTTCGGCTGTCGGCGGAGGCTGCGGCCGGCTCCTCGGTTGTCTGCCGTTCACGGAGGGGGGCGCAGGGGCGCGGCGGCGGGGGCCGGGCCGGACCCTGGCAGCCCTGCCTGGACCATGTCTGAGCCGCCGCTCCGAGTTCGCTGGCGCCACACCCTCGGGCGCTGGACGTCGTCGGAGACCCCGGGGTCCTTCCCAGAGCTGGGCTAGGGCGGCCCGCAGTCCCGGCTCAGTCCCCCATCCCAGGAAGTGTGGCTGGTGCGGGTGACCAGATGGACGGCTCGTCCTACCCCGGGCACCCGGTCTCGCTGCGATATTCCGTGGGAGCACGCGGCCCTGAAATTGTTTGAAAGAGTTACAGGGAAGCAGAGAGAGGTCTTCCATCCGCTGGTTCTCTCTCTCTGTAACTCTGCCTTTCAAATAATAAATAAATCTTTAAAATAAATTATTTACTCATATGAGACAGAGGTCTCCCACCCGCTGGTTCAATCCGCAGATGTCCACGGGAGCTGGGGACACACGGGGGGCCGACTCTGCTTGGTTCGCTCCCCAAATGGCTGCAACGGCTGGAGCCGCGCAATCAGGAGCCAGGAGCTTCTCCCCACGCAGGTGCAGGGGCCCAAAGACTTTCCCAGGCCACAGCAGAGAGCTGGATGGGAAGTGGAACAGCCAGGACTCGAACCTGTGTCCATATGGGATGTAGGCACTGCAGGCGGAGGATTAAGCTACTGTGCCATGGTGCCGGCCCCACAAGTGGCCCTCTTGCTGGCTGGGTCACATGGCGAGAACAGGGCAGCAGGTGCGTGTGTCCCCCGCGGTTCTCCCTGCCTTCCTGACCTGAGTCTGGTCACCCCCGAGGCCCGCCTCCCGACCCCACACTGCCGAAGAGACAGACCTAGCGGTGTGGCTCACGGGGCGCCCGGGCCCCTGGGAGCACGTGCTGGGGGCCCCCTTAGGTCCGGCTGCCGTCGTCCTGGGCACAGTGAGGGGCGTTTCCCAGGCCTGTGTCCCGCAGGGCCATCACACACAGCCGCCTGGGCTGACTTAGGGGCACGGTGGGGGGGCTGAGTCCGTGTGCTGTGTAGACGGGCAGGACTCAGTCCATGTCAGGACACCGTGAGACGGGAGAGGGACGACGGTGTGCTGGCTGTCAGGTCCCCGAGGGCAGCGGGGGGGGGGGGCGGGGGCAGCGCACGCTTGCCGGGGGTGGGGCTGGGCTCTGTCCAGCGAGCGGTCCCCCACTGCGGGGCTGCGGCGTCCCTGGAAGCCCCCCACGGCACCTGCCGCTTCATCCATGCCAGCAGGGGTGGGAGACCGCTACTATTTATCACCCGAGGCAGGGGCCGGCGTGTGGGGGGGTGGCCAGTTAAGGCTGTTGCCTGCTTTAGCAAACGGGCACTGGTTCAAGTCCCAGCTGCTCCAGTTCTGATCCAGCCCCCAAGTCCTTGGGGCCTGCACCCTCGTGGGAGACCCGGATGGAGCTCCCGACTTCAGCCTGGTCCAGCCGCAGCTGTGGTGGGCATTTGGGGAGTGACCCAGCGGATGGAAGATTTCCATGTCTCTGCCTCTCTCTGTAACTTTTTTTTTTTTTTTGACAGGCAGAGTGGACAGTGAGAGAGAGAGACAGAGAGAAATGTCTTCCTTTGCCGTTGGTTCACCCTCCAATGGCCGCCGCGGCTGGCACGCAGCGGCCAGCGCACCGCGCGGACCCGAAGCCAGGAGCCAGGTGCTTCTCCTGGTCTCCCATGGGGTGCAGGGCCCAACACTTGGGCCATCCTCCACTGCACTCCCTGGCCACAGCAGAGAGCTGGCCTGGAAGAGGGGCAACCGGGACAGAATCCGGCGCCCCAACCGGGACTAGAACCCGGTGTGCCGGCGCCGCAAGGCAGAGGATTAGCCTAGTGAGCCGCGGCGCCGGCCCCTCTGTAACTCTTTCAAATCAATCTTCTAAAAAATCTGTTGTGTATCTGGGGCAGAGAGGGACAGTCTCCCTGGACAGGCTGGGCCGGGCCGAAGCCGGGAGTTCTGTGGTCTCCAGCGTGGCAGGGACGTGGGGGCCTGAGCCATCACCGTCACTGCTGCCCTCCAGGTGTGCGCTGGCCGGAAGCCGGAGCTGGGACCGGGATCTTTGCAGGCGAATCCCAGCTGTGCCGTTGCCCGGTGGAGCCACACAGGCTTCAGGTCCCGCAGAGTGGGCACCAGTGCTGGCCACACAGCCCCTGGGGGACAGGAGTCCGCCCCAGCCCTGTGCAGCCGTCAGCGGGGTCTCCCCGGGGCCTCGGGGGGGGGGGGTTCTGGCCATGCTGCTGCCTCCCGTGCTCACCAAGGTGCGGCTCTGGCCCCTTGCAGAGAGGAGCTGTGGGTGCCGTGTGAGCCTGCCCCTTTGGCACCAGCTTCCTCCTCCGCTGGGGTCCCTCTTGCCCCCTCCTGGTCCCGGCAGCGGAGGGGCCCTGGGAGCCCGGCGGCTGTCACCGTGACAGGCACTTTGCAGGCTGCAGAGCGGGGCTCAGTGACATGGAGGGGGTGCAGGCGGGCGTGGCTCAGCCAGACCACCCTTCAGAGGGAGCGGGGGGGGGGGCCCGCGTGGCACGGTGATGCTGCACCCCACATGGAGCCCTGCTTGGAGTCCCAGCTGCCCTGCCTCCGGTCCAGCTCGTTGCTGTGGCCCGGGAGGGCAGTGGAGGAAGGCCCAGGTGCTGGGGGCCCTGCACCCGCGAAAAAGCTCCTGGATCCTGGTTTCGGATCTGCCCAGCTTGGATGTGGGCCATGTGGGGAGTGAACCAGCGGAAGGAAAACCTCCCTCCCTCTCTCCCTCTCCCTCTCTCCCTCCCTTTCCCTCCCTCTCTCTCTCTCCCCCCTCTCATACTCTCTCTCTCTCTCTCCCTCTCTCTCCCCCCCTTTCCCTCTCTCCCCCCGGCCTCTCTATACCTGTTTCAAATAAATAAATAAATCTTTTTTAAAAAAATCAACTAGGGATAGACAGAGTTTTTTAACTGCACAGGGTGGACACTGGCCTGGCCGTCAGGACGCCTGCGCCCGTCTCCTGCTTCCTGCTGGTGGCTCCCCTGGGAGGCGCCCGCTCGGGAGACCCGGGGAAGCTCGGGGGTCCGGGCTCGGCCTGGCCCAGCCCTGGCCTCTGTGGGCGTTTGCGGGGGGAGTCAGTGCTGCTCTCTGCCTTCCGAATAAAATGGAAATAATAAGCATTTCAGGAAGAAATGAAGAAGAGTGGTTACGGTGATACGTGGCGGGTGCGTGTGCACACGCGTGTAGGCGTCAGGTCCGTGTGTGCTCTCAGGCGGAGTCGGCGTGGCTTGGTCACGGCCTCCACGCAGGGGAGGAGAGCGGCGGCTCCGTTCCCCGCGGCGGCTCCGTTCCCCGCGGGGGCTCGCGGGGGCTCTGTTCCCTGTGGCGGCTCTGTTCCACGCGGGGGCTCCGTTCCCCACGGCCGCTCTGTTCCCCGTGGCGGCTCTGTTCCCCGCGGCGGCTCCGTTCCCCACGGCCGCTCCGTTCCCCGCGGCGGCTCTGTTCCCCGCGGCGGCTCCGTTCCCCACGGCCGCTCCGTTCCCCGCGGCCACTCCGTTCCGTTCGCACAGCCGCCGGGAGCCAGGGTCCACAGCCAAGGCGGCTGCTTCGTGTGGGTGCTGGCCGGCCGCGACCCCGTCCCCCACGGGTGTCTACTTTTTATTTTTTTTGAAGCATCACGTTAGGCGGTTGGCGCCTGGCTTCCTGCTCTTGACCACATCCTGCGTACCTCGTCCCCGCCCCTGCGCCTCCGGGCATGGACGGGCACGCGGGGTGGGCCCAGTGGGCCGGGAGCGGCCGCGGCGTCCGTGTCCACGCCCCTGGCCAGCCGCTGAGGGTCCGTGCCTCTCCGTGGGTGTGTGTGTGTGTGTGTGTTTAAGGTTACAACAGAGACGAGAAGCAGAGAGACAGGAGCGTCCATCCCCACGAGGCTGCAGTGGCCGGAGCCAGGCGCTCCATCCGGGTCTCCCACGCAGGTGCAGGGGCCCAGGACCTGGGCCGTCGTCCACTGCTTCCCCCGGCCACCGCGGGGAGTGGAGCGGCGTGCACGTGGGACGCGGGCTTGCAGGCTGTGGCATCGCCGGGATGCCGGGCCCAGCCCAGTCCAGGGCGCGCCCCTGCCCCCTCCTCGGTGCTGGCCCCCGGCACAGCCAAGCGCCCCTGCATCACTCATTTCGGCCTGGCCCAGGCGCGCCCTGGGCGAGCGCGGGGAGCGCAGAGGGAGGCCGGCTGCAGAGGGGCATCGCCGCCCCGCTCCACGCGGCGGGGCCCGGGCCTCTGAGCCCGGTCTCTGGTCAGCGGGGCCCGCCCGGACCTGCGATGACCCACGCTGTGTGCTGGACACGGACGCACTTGGCGACGCGCACGGGACACGCGGGCGTCGGAGCGGTCTCCTCGCGGCCGGCGGCTCGGCGCGGGTCACCTTGGGCAGTGACTCAGCCGGACACGGGCCGGTCTGAGAAATGGGGACACCGCGGGGGACGGGCCGCCGTCGCTGCCCCCGCGGCCCGCAGCAGGCGGCCTCGCACCCGCAAGGACTCCCACGCGCCCCCGCCGCCTCGCAGCCACAGCGCAAAGGGCGAAAAAGCCCCGCGGCGCCCGCCGAGCCTGGCCGGGAGCGCCGGATCCCCGCACGCGCGCGCGCGCGCACGCCCCGGCGGCGGCGGCGGCGGCGGCGGCGGCGGCGGCGGCGGCGGCGGCGGCGGGCGGACTCCACTTCCCAGCATGCCCCGCGCCGCCGCCGCCTCGGCCCAGGCGCCCGCGCGCCGCCCAGCGGGCGCGACTGCGGCTGCGCGGCGCGCGGCGGACGCACGCACGCACGCCGTCGCACCCCTGGCCCCGCCCCCGGAGGCCCCGTGCGGGAGCGCGCCCGGGCGTGCGCAGGGGCGGCGGCGCGGCGGCGCGGGGACGCGCGGTGACCGTTGGCGCTGTGAGGGGAGGAGGCACAGCCGCCGCCGCCGCCGCCGCCGCCGCCGCCGCCGTTGCGCAGATCCGGGCCGCGGCTGTGGGGAGGGCGACGGAGCGGGTGACCTTCCGGAGGCGGGAGCGAGCGAGGAGGCCCGGGGACGCCCAGCGCCGCCGCCGCCGCCGCCGCCGCCATGAACAACTCGGGCGCCGACGAGATCGGGTGAGGACGGGCCTGCGCCGCGCCCGGGGCCCGGGCGCCCGCCCCTCGCCGCCCGGCCCTCAGACGCCGCCCCCGGGGCGGGCCGGGCGGGGGGCCGCCCCGTCAAGGTCACGCCGGCCGCGGCGGGGGTGGGGGGGCGGGCTCGGGGTCCACGGCGGCGGCCCCGGTTCCCGCCGGGAAGGCGGCGCGGGAGCCTTGAGCGCTCGGGGCGCCCACGCCGCCGCCTCCCTGCTTCCCGGGGGGCTGGGACCCCCGGCGGGGCGTCCCGGGGGCGGGGGTCCCGGGGGCGGGGGTCCCGAGCGGCCCCTCGGGCTTGCGGCGCCCCCCCCCCCCGGCGGCCCGGGGCGCCCGCAGCGCGAGGCTGGGGGTCCCGGGCTTGGCGGGGCGGTGCACGTGGCGGGCCGGGCTGCGGTTCCGGTTCTGCGGCGCGGGGCCTGGGTCGGGGTCCCCCGGCCGCGCACGGGGCCTCCTGCGGGCTCTGCGCCCCGCAAACAAAGCCGGGAGGAGCGCGGGGTCAGCCGCGGGGGCGCCGGCCCGAGCGGGAGCTGCGGCCGCGTCACGTGGGAGGCAGGGTCGCTTCCGGCTCCCCCCGGGGCCAGGGCTCGCCGCTTCCGGGGAGGGGGCCGGGGCGGCGCGGAGCGGCCGGGAGCCGGGGGTCCCTGGGGCGCTGCCCTGCAGGTCCCGCGCGGCGGCCGCTGGGAGCCGGCGGTCACGCGGAGGCCCGGGCGGGCACGGCCACGGCCCGCAGCTCCGTGGGTGTCGCGCGGGACGCGTGAGCCGGGGCGCCCAGCCAGGAAGGGGGGCTCCCGGCGCGGTCTGCGGGGAGCGGACGCCCCGCCTGGCCCGGGTCTGTCCAGGGGAGGCCGCGCAGGTGCAGGGCCGGGGAGTCTCTCCTTGGCCCCTCGCCCTCGCCCGGGGAGGCCTGGCGCGCAGGTGCAGCCGTGTCGTGTCCGGGGCCCCCACCCCAGCCGGCCGCGCCGTGTCCTCTCGCAGTGCCCGCTGTGGGCTGGGCAGGGCAGGGCGACAGGTCCTCCCGAGGGCCTGGAGCTCCCGTCTCCGTGGGGGCAGGCCCCGCGCTGGGCGCCCCTTAGCAGGAGCCGGGCCAGCCCCGGCCGCCTTTGCTCTTGGTGTCTGGGAGGCGGGACTGGCTCCCTCCCGCGGGGCCGGCGCTGCATCCGGGTCTCCCACGCGCTGCGGGGACCCCAGCGCCCGGGCAGCTGGCTGGGACTGGGGCGCCGGCCCCGCGGGTTCTGTGGTTGGTGTCTGGTGAGCGGCCGCTGCACGCAGGGGCACCGGCCCGCCGCCCGGCTCTGAGCGGTCTGAGGACTCGCTTCCTGTCGGACGTGCGCGGGGCTTGAGTCGGGCGGGCGCTTCCCGGCCAGCCTTGCGGCGGCCCCGGGTTAAACTCGCAGACCCGCCGCTTGCCCGATCCTGAGGTTCACCGGCTCGGGGGCCTGCCCAGGCGGTGCAGAGGGGAGGTGTGCCCGGCCGCGGCTGGCACGTCCCGCCGCTTGCCCCGCGTGCCCGTGGGTGGGGGGTGACGCAGCCCCAGCCCGAGTGGTCTGTGCGGCTGTCGGCCCGCAGGTGTGGGGTGCTGGGAAGCCCAGGCCTCCCGCTGTTCCCCACGGGGAGAAGGTCACTCTAGGGAGCCGCAGGGGACGCCCGCCGGCTGCACCCACGGTGCCAGGCTGCGCCGTCGGCTGCTGTCGGGGCCGGGGTCCCGGGGTCAGCCTGCAGGAAGCCCCCCGAGGCCCGCACAGCAGACAGGGGGTCGTTCAAAACCAGCGGGCGGCCTGAGCGCGGGACCTGCCTCTGCCAGATCCGGGGGCGGGCAGGGGCCTCCCTTGCCGGGGCTTGTCCCCCTCCCCTGCCTGTGCTGCGGGGTCGGGCTTGAGGCGCCTATGGCCGAGGGAGGGCCCCCCCCCCCCCCCCCCCCGCGCCCGCACCTCCCTCAGGCCACGCGCGCGAGTGAGGAGCTGTGGTGGCTGATCGCAGCCTGCTCCTCTCCGGACGCGGGCGTTGTCTGTCCCTAGTACCTCATTCAGAATTTAAATGAAGGCCTGGGCCCAGACTGGTCTGACCAGCCCCACCCTGGGCGGGAGGAGGGGCCGCCGCTCCCCGCCCGCCCGCCCGCTCTGTGCTCCGTGTGGCTCCCTCTCCCGGGAGGGGGGTGCGTGGGTGCGGGGCGCGGGGCCGAGCTGGTGCCGCACAGTCCTCCGGGCCTTGCCCCAGGAGCTGCCTGGTGCCGTGCCGCCTGGCGGCTGCCGACAACACCAGGAGAGCGTTGAACTCGAGTCATCCTCCGAGAGAGAGCGGGCCCGGCCCGACCTGTGCCCTGGCTTTTTCTAGGGCTCACTCGGCCCTGCCGCCCGCGCCGCCCGTGTCCGCGGGGCCTCGTGTCTCAAGGCTGGGTGCCGGGTGGTTGGGTGACAGACCCAGGGAAGTCTTGTCTTTCAAAGGTTCCGTCTTTGAGAGACAGAGGTCACTGTGCAGATGGGCACAATGGCCAGGGCTGGCCACCTTGAAGCCAGGAGCTTCGCCTGGGTCTCCCACGCGGGTGCAGGGGCCCGAGGACCTGGGCCGTCCTCCACGGCTTTCCCAGGCCACAGCAGGGAGCTGGATCGGAAGTGGAGCAGCCGGGACTCGAACCTGCACCCATGTGGGATGCTGGCACGGCAGGCCACGTTGTAGGTGGCCCTTACTGGTGTGGGGCGGGCGGGGCTCTCGTCCAGGTGGCGCTCCGGGGCCGGGCGGCCACCAGTCCACAGCGGGCCGGGGTCTGGGCGTGAGCAGCGCGGCTGTGTCACTGAGCCGCCTCCCCTTGCTTCCCGGGCCGTGAGCGCCGCTCTGGGCTTGCGGGAAGCTCCAGTGACACCCGAGGCTTTGTGGGCGGTGAGCCCCCGGCCAGCCGTGTGTCAGCCGTGTCCCGTGGGCGGGCACAGTGCCGGAGGGGGTGACCTCGCCAAGGCCCGCAGGCGCTTGGCGCCAGTTCCAGCTTGGTTCTGGCCAGGCCTGTGCTCGGTGGGCCAGGTGGGCCCTGAGAGGTGAGCAGATGGTCCTGGGGGTGGGGGCTGTGGGGCTCCAGGTCGGGCTGGAACCGTGTCTGCCAGCGCAAGGCCACAGCTAGGGCTTTGCTCCCGCGTGTCCCCCGAAGGCTCGCGGCAGGTGCCCTAAGTGCGCAGTTCCCTGGGGCGCTCTGTGCCACCTCCCCTGCGGACCGGAGCCCGTGTGGCAGAAGCGGGAGGACGCGGGGGCCGCTGCCCGCGTCGTGGACCCGCCTCGCTCTACGCTGTGCCGTGGGCGGGGGTGGAGTCCTTCCACGCCACACAGCGAGCCCTGAGCCGTCACGGCGCGGGTCGCGTGTGCCCCGGAGGGAGCGTGTTGGGAAAGCCGCCTGGCCCTGACGCCTTCTCCTTGGCTTGCAGGAAGCTCTTCGTGGGCGGTCTCGACTGGAGCACGACCCAAGGTAGGCGGTGCCGGCGGCGCCGTGTGCTCGGGTTCGCCTGGACGTTGTCAGCCGGGGGCCGGCCAGGCGGGCGCTGCCGACGTCACGTCAGCGTCGGGGCCTGGCGTCCGCACCGCCGCTGGCCGTTTCCTCGGCTCCCCTGAGATGGGAGGGCTCAGGGCACTGCCGTGGGCGCCCAGCCTTGCCCGTGCCGGGGTGGGGTGCACAGCTGCCCTGGCCTCTCCCGACCCTCCCCCACGCCCCGGAGGGGGTCGCTGGCTCCCACCCTTGGAGGCCTTGGAGCCGGGGAGGGGCGGGTGTGGCGGGTGTGGCGGGCTGCGGGCTGCGGGCTGCGCTCACCCTGTCTGTCTGCTCCGCTCCGGGCAGAGACCCTGCGCAGCTACTTTTCGCAGTATGGAGAAGTCGTGGACTGCGTGATCATGAAAGACAAGACCACCAACCAGTCTCGCGGGTTTGGGTTTGTCAAGTTCAAAGACCCAAACTGCGTGGGGACGGTGCTGGCCAGCAGACCACACACGCTCGACGGCCGGAACGTGAGTCTCGCGCGGAGGCTGCCCTGTCTCGTTGGCCCTCCGCGGGGCCTGGGCTTGCTGGGGGACAGGCTGTCGGCGCCGGTGGGGGATGTGCTGAGGGAGAACGTAGCCTCGTGTTCACCCCGCTCGTCTGAAACTCCGCAGATCGACCCCAAGCCCTGCACGCCTCGGGGGATGCAGCCGGAAAGAACTCGGCCCAAGGAAGGATGGGTAAGGGGCCGGGGCCTCTGTGCGTTCTCTGGCCAGAATCGGAGAGGCGCGCCCGCCTCCCCAGCCCCGCTGTGCCCAGGCCGTTCCGTCTCGTAGCCAGGGGCCTCCCTCGGAGTCTAGTTAAGGACCAGCGATGACGGCGCCCGCGGCTCGGCCTCCGGAGCCCTCGCCTTGTCCCCCGCGACCTCTGCTCCAGGACAGCTGAGCCGCGCGGCGAACCCCCAGCCACCACCGCGGACCCCCTTCGCGGGCTGCAGCCGCCGGCCCCCCAGGAGCCGATGGGCCCCTTACAGAGCCGCTCGGCGCCTGCTCCCGCCGTGGCAGGCCCATTGCTGGCCCTGCTTCGCGCCTGGGGACACCCCGCACCCTCCGCCCAGCCCTGCGCTCCCTGCGCCAGCCTGGGCCCAGCTGGCGGTGCAGGGCTCCTGCCCCCCCCCCCGGGCTTCTCCGGGGCGCCACTGGGCGGCACCCCCTGCTTTCCCGAGGGCCGGCCTCGTAGACCCCAGCCGTGCAGCCGGGCCCTGGCGGCCGTCTCTTTTCTGGCTTTCATTGGGTAGCCTCTGAACGCGGAACAGCCGAGTCCACCGCGATGCGTCTCGTGCCTGCCTTTGCGTCCCCCTCTGCCGGTGGAGGCCAGGCCTAAACTCGGGGGGCGGCTCCTAAAGCGCCCCCTCCTCACCCGAGCACCTGGGCCGGGAGCTGCGCGGCCGTGGGCTCTGCCCCGCAGCTGTGTCCAGCGGCGAGACCTCACCCTCCCCTCGGGCAGCGGGGCTCGGGAGGGGCTGGACGGCGCGCGCGTTCCCTGGGCTCCTCAGCCGCCGGAGCTCCGCGGGTGAGACTGCCAGCTCGGCCTGCAGAGCTTCCGGCGCAGGGGCCGCGTGCGCCGGCCGGGCCGGGGTGTGGGGGCGCCGGCCGGGATGTGGGGGCCGCGTGCGCCGGCCGGCCGGGGTGTGGGGGCGCCGGCCGGGATGTGGGGGCCGCGTGCGCCGGCCGGGCCGGGATGTGGGGGCGCCGCCGCCCTGTGTCCCGCGGCGCTTGCACTCGCCGGGTTTCGGGCGCCTTCCTCGGGGCACGCGCTGGAGGGTCCCCGCGTGAACTGACCTCCTTCTCCCTGCAATAGCAGAAGGGACCCCGGAGCGACAACAGTAAATCGAACAAGATCTTTGTTGGCGGGATCCCCCACAACTGTGGCGAGACAGAGCTCAGGGAGTACTTCAAGAAGTTCGGAGTGGTGAGTTCCCTCCCGGCTGCCTCTGCTCTGGGCGCTGTGCGGCTCCCCGGAAGTCCCGCCTCCCTCCCTGGCCTTCGCTGCCCAGTGGAGCCTTCGTGCGGAAGTCCCGCCTCCCTCCCTGGCCTTCGCTGCCCAGTGGAGCCTTCGTGCGGAAGTCCCGCCTCCCTCCCTGGCCTTCGCTGCCCAGTGGAGCCTTCGGCTCTGGGGGCAGCAGTGCTCCTCAGGGGGTCGCTGAGAGCCTGGGCCAGGATGGGGGCGGGAGGGAGACGGGCAGGGGCCGGGCGCCGCCACCTCTGGGGCGCTGGCGTGAGCAGGACACACACAGACGCGTCCTGGCCCCGAGTGAGCCTCACTGCCCGCGTGGGAGAGCGGGCGGGTGCCTGTGGGGGACCCTGCGGCCGGCCTTCTGCCTCGGGCTCCCGGCGGCGGCCGGGCCTCACGCGCCCTCTCTCCGCAGGTCACGGAGGTGGTCATGATCTATGACGCCGAGAAGCAGAGGCCTCGAGGTAAAGGCAGATCTCGTTTGTCCCTGAGCCGCCCCCCCTCAGATGGCAAACTATCTCACCCTCAGACGCAGTCAGTGCTGGGTCAGGGCCTGGCCCCAGGACAGGACGATTCGGCGGCCAAGCCAAAACGTAGGCGCCCCGCGCGCTGTCTGCCGCCCCAGGTCAGGCGTGAGTCGTCGGTGTGTTTTTTTTGGCTCGTCCTTTTGAAGTTTTCACAACTCGACGTGACTTCCACGTGGCCCCGTGCTCAGCGTGTCCTCAGTGTGGTTCTTCACGTGGTGAGCTCCCGACAGCCGCTGCTCACTCCGGCCGGCGTGGTCGCCCACGCGCGCCGCCCACTGCGCCGGCCCAGCCCGCCTGGGCGCGCACCCCAGTCGTCCATGCTTTTTCCTTGTGTGTTTTTTTCTTCCCCTCCCGCTGTTTTTCTGTTTTTTTTTTTTTTTTTTTCTTTGTTTTGTTTTTGCCCCCGATTCAGTAGGGCAGGTGGAGGAGGGTGAGGAGGCCCTCGGGTCCCCCGCCCCGAGCCCCCTCCCTTGCGTGGTGGCCCGTGAGCTGGGGCGGGCACCCGCTTCCCTGCCCTCTGGTGGCTGCGGCGCTCGCCCCAGCCCGCGTGTTTTTGGGCCGGCCGTGGCAGCAGACCCGCGCCTGTGCCCCGCGCGCTGTGCCCGGATGAGCGGGCCCCTCCGCGCCGGCCGCCGGCAGCACGCCGCCATGCTGGAGCATAGTTTGCCATTTGAACGTGCACCCCTCCGCGAGCAGGCGCGGCCCGCGCGGTTAAGCGTTAAGTCTTAGTCTGGATGAACGTAGTGCTGCCTAGTGCCGTATTGAGTGCTGTAGTGAAGTAGAGTCCGTTAAGTAGGCCGACTCCTCCCGTGCTGCTGCTCATTAACGATGTCTCCAGATCTCTCCTGCAGGTGCTAAGTTGTATCACACAGGTACAGGCCAGTCCCGCAGTCACAGGGGCGGCTTCGCTCCGTGGGGTGTAAACGAAGTTTCAGTGTGTTTGTCCCGCTTGCTCGTGGGGCCGGCGCCCTGACAGAGGCTCCTCTCCGGCTCCCGCGCGCTGTAAACGGGCCCTCCTGCCGTTGGGAACGTGTCAGCCTCGCGAGACTGTTCATCACTCTGTTGCGTTGCATATGCCGCCTCCCGCCTCGTGAGCCTGTGCGGGACCTGCGGGCCGCCCCCGCCCGCCGCTCCTGGCCCCGTGCCCCTCCTGGGGCGCGGCCCGAGCTAGCTGCCACCGTGGGGGTGGGGTGGAGGGGGCTCAGCCGCCGGCTCCGACTCCGCGGCGGGGGTCAGCGGGCCCTGCCCCCGCCTCCTCGGCCCTCTGATCTCGGGAGACCCCGGCCGCCCCTTCCCCTGCCTCTCAGGGCCTCGGGACGGGCTGCTGGTGGGGGCCCAGGGCCCCTAGCGCAGCGGCCCCACCCTCCCTGGGCCTCGCGCCCGCCGCCCCGCTGCCCCGCAGCCCCTCTGTCCTCGGGTTTTCTCCTCCTCGCTCCGTCTCCTGTGCGCTTCGCCTCCATGATGACCCCCCCCCCGTCCCTCTGGCCCGTCCTTGCCGACCCCACGTGCGCGGTGGGTGCGTGCACCCCCCTCAGGCACACCGTCACCCGGAGGCAGCCCGGGGCTCCTGACCCCGCGTCCTGCGCGGGGCTCCCGGTGCGGCCTCTCCCGCCCGCCCCCCGTGGCCGGTGCCCGCGCTGTCCCTCCGCTGTGTGGGGCTCCGCGGCGCCCTCTGCCTCCCACCCCCCGCCCCCAGCCCGGCCCCGCCCTCAGGTCGTCCCGTCCGCCCGGGGAGGCGCGCGTGCTCGGCCCAAAAGAGGAGACGCCCTGTTAGCTGGGCGGCCGCGCTCACCCCAGACCAACCAAACTTCGTTTATACTGCCACTTCCTTGTGTTTGGGAAATGCTAAATTCTTTCCTTTGAAATTGTCTTTGGATTACATGGTGCCTCTTGCTCTCGCTGCTGACGGCAGATTTGAGCTGCTGGACCCCGCGTGGCCTGTATCTCTGTGCACTGACGTACTTATTCATAGACGGACCTAGATACATAGATACTCGTAGAGATGTATACTGTTATTTACGTACGCATAGCTGCCTACGCGCAGCGCCTCTCGGGGCGCCGTGGGCTGAGCCAACAGCGTTGGGTCAGCCAGCGAGGCGCTCGCTGTGGCAGACACCGTACTGTCAGCGCTTTAGAGCGATGTGGCTGCTGCCAGCACTGGCTGCAAAGATGGAAGCCAAGGGGGAGAACCGCGGGTTTCAGAGAAGCGGGAGGCGCGCACCACACGCACAGCCCTGGCCCCACCCCCCAGGCCCCCGGCCCCGCCGAGGCCCCGCCCCCGGCCCCGCCCCCCACCGAGGGAGGCCCCGCCCCGCGCCGGTCTCGGGCGGGCGGGCGGGCGGACAGTGACCTGGTCGGCAGGGCTGCGTCCTGCCGGCCGCTCTGGGAGGCCCCGCCCCCGGGCCGCCCGGCCCCCACACTGGCTTAGCTGAGACCCGCGGTCGAACCCTCGGTGCGTCCCTAATACTGTTCATCGTCCTGTTTTGTGTCACAACACCCTGCTACCTTGATTCACTCTTCGTCGTTGGCTAGGTTTTGGATTTATTACTTTCGAGGACGAACAATCAGTGGACCAGGCTGTCAACATGCATTTTCACGACATCATGGGCAAAAAAGTGTGTAGTTGTAGTTTTATTCTACCTTAAGACCAGACCAAGCCTCAGGCAACCTCGGGGTTTCACTGGAAGGGGAACCCGTCAGCAGCAGCGGGGTGGGCCAGCGGGGTCACCCGGGAGCCTCCGCCGCGAGGCTGCCCGCGGTCTGCAGGGCGGGGGTCTCCCAGCCAGGCCGTGGAGCCCCTCCCTCCACGCGCCGGGAGCCGGGGTGGGGGGGCGGGGGCGGGGCGGGGGGCCGGCCTCCAGTGAGATCGCAGGTTGCCTCAGGCTTGGTGTCCGTGACCTCTCCTTCAGATGTCCGCCCCCTCCCCGCCCGAGCCCCCGTCACGCCGAGCCGTGGGCCTGCGGGGCCCCGGCGCTCGCGAATGCTAAGATGTGAAACATGCTGAAGGATTGGTTCTCAGTGGGGTCACTGGCTGTGAGCTCCGGGCCGGCACCTGCTCTCGACAGCACTTAACACGCGCAGCCCAGTGACCTCCGGGTGTTGGATCTTCATACTGTGTCGCGGCCACGGAGGCCACAGGGACGGGGTCGCTGACGAGGCCGCGCGGCGTGGCGTCCTCAGGGGCCGCGGGGCCCGCGTTCTTGCAGGACTCCTGTCCTGGCCCTTCCCGCTCCGCCCAGAGCACCCGGCGGGCCCAGCTGCCTCCCTGCCACGCAGGTTCGAGGTCAGCGCTGAGGCGGGCGCCCTCGGGTGCCCCTGCCGGCGCGGCCGAGAGTGTGGGCGCTCGGTTAGGTTGCAGGCCGCGTGCGTTCCGCCTGGGCTCCCCCGGAACAGGAGGCGCGAGCCTTGTTCTGACGTGGACCGCAGCCGAGGGCAGAACTAGCGGGAGGCTGCCAGCGTGCGCCACAGCACGCACGCACGAGCAGACCCTGTGGCCTGATGTGCAGGGGCAGAGGGCCTGCACGGCGCACGGGCCCACTCCCGGCCCCTCCCGGGCTCCCGGGCCTGTGACGCGGGGCTGAGGCGACCTCGGCACGCGGCACGGCCCCCAGGCCAGGCAGAGCAGGAGTCCCGCTTGCCCACCGACCTTCACTGGTCACCTCCCGCCCGGTGTGCCGGGCACAGGCCCCGTGGTCGGAGACCCTGCGGGCCCGGCGGCTGGCAGGGCGGCCCCCGGCTACAGGCCGCTCCGCCCTGCGCGCAGGAACCCGGTCCCTCGGGAGCCTGTGAACGCGACAGCTGGAGTCCTTTGTCCCGCATCCCCGGGCCCCGCCGCCACACGGCCCTGAGCTCGCGGGCTTGCTCCCACCTGCGGGGCTTGTCCCCCGCTGGCAGAGCTGGGCTGGGCACTGGCCTCCGGGCCAGACCCCCAGGCTGGCTGCAGGCGGATTCGCCGCCTTGTTCTCAGGACAGGAAAGGCCAGGATTCTGGGACGCGAGCCGGCCCCGGCCGGGCGGCCCTCTTGTTGTCAGCGTGCCGTGTCCGGGCCGCAGGGGCCGGGCTGGCCGCTGCGCGTAGCCGTAGGCGAGGCGCCCGGCGCGGGGGCCTGGCTGCCCACACAGTATGAAGATCCTGTACTGACTCCGATGTCCATTCTATTGCATGTCCGTTGACTTTCTGTTAGATGTGATGTAAGATCCTCTTACACATCCATCCCCTGACGTTATTTTGAGTTAATTGAGATTCTCTAAGCCATAGCCTGGGGAAGGTAAGTCTTTATCTTCCATTAGACATTTTAAATAAAACCTAAGTTAAACGCCAACCGTGTTTCTCAGGTATGAGCGCAGAGCGCAGGGGTGGGCTCAGGCCCGCGCTGTGCCGTGGCCAGCGGGGTCTGGCGGGGGGGCGGTCCTGGTCCCCACGTGTCCTGGAGTGCTCGGTGGCCTCGGCGGCGCTGCCGTCGTAACTTGAGCGGAGCCCTCGTCCCGGACACGGCCCGAGGGTCCTCGCGCAGCGCAGCGCCCGCCGCCGCCGTGTGGGGAGCGTGTCTTACGTGGTGTCTGCTGTACCTGAGAAACATTTCCTTAAGCAAGAGATTTTAAGAATTTATTTTAAAGAAAAAAATGACCTACTGGCCTAAATAAGTTATAGTTAAGTACTTAGTCTTAAGTCATAGCTGCTAAGTGTAGTCGTAAGTGACCCGAGGGCACCTGAAGGGACGGGCACGGGGCCGCGGCCGCCCGCTAAGCCAGAGCCGGTTTGCCCAGGTGGAAGTTAAGCGGGCCGAGCCGCGGGACAGCAAGAGCCAAGCGCCGGGACAGCCGGGTGCCAGCCAGTGGGGGAGCCGGGTGGTGCCCAGCGCTGCCAACGGCTGGGCGGGTCAGCCCCCACCCACGTGGCAGCAAGGATACGGCCCGCAAGGTGAGGCCCGACGTGGGGCGCGGGGGCTTCCTGCTGGGGGGGTCGCTCCGTGCTCAGGGACGGGAGGCAGGGTCTGCCTGTCAGCCCTCCCGCCCCCACGGGTCACGGGAGGTGGGTGCTGCCCACTGCTTCCAGGGCCGTCTGCGGCCAGGGCCCGCGCCCCTCCGTGCTGAGCCGGCAGGAGACCCTGGGCACGGGACCTGACACGGCCCAGCCTGAGCCTGCACGGAAACGCAGGGGCGAGCCGGGGCGCGCGGGGCGTGGAGCCCGGGCTTCTGTGTCCTGTGGCGCTGTGGGGGCGTCCTGGAAGAGGGGGCTTGGGCTGGCCCGGTCTGCTCGGGTGCAGGGGGGGCTCGGAGCCGTGCTGGGCCCTGCCGCCCGCAGGCCGGGGGCTGCAGCATCTCCCTCTGTTCCGCTTCCAGGGATGTGGGTGCCGGCAGGACAGGCGATCGGTAAGTCCTCGCAGAGAGCAGGGTGGGCCCCGGCCGGCCGGCCCCTGGCCGCTTCCCCACTGTGGCGGGGGGGGGTGCTGGGGGCTGGGCTGCTGCCCTCCGCCCTCACCTGTGCTGTGTGTTCCAGGTGGCTATGGACCACCCCCTGCTGGAAGAGGAGCCCCCCCACCGCCCCCGCCATTCACCTCCTACATCGTGTCCACACCTCCCGGCGGCTTTCCCCCTCCTCAGGGCTTCCCCCAGGGCTACGGCGCCCCTCCACAGTTCAGTAAGTCTGCCTGGGCCCCGGGGCGGGGGCCGCTCGGGCTCGCGGCTGCGCTGCTCTGCCACGGCCAAGCACGGGGACCCAGAGCCGGCCGCCTCCGGCCTCTGCCACCCGCAGTCCCGCAGAGCCTTCAGCCCCGACTCCCGCGGCCTCCCCGGCCCCAGAGCTGGGGCGCCGGCGCTGAGCCTGGGGTGAGCCGCGGCGAGAAGTCAGCCACCGCCCGGGCGCCGGGGGAGGCTCTGCTCACGCCCCACCGGGCGTGCCGACGGCTCTGGGCTCGGGCCTCAGAGAGAAGCCACCCAGAAGACGCGAGAGGAGGAGACGTAGCGTAGCGTGGGGTGGGGGTCCTCCATCCACGCGGTCACTCTTCAAGTGACGACAGCTGAGGCTGGGCCAGGCCGAAGCCAGCAGCCGGGAGCCCCTCCGGGTCTCCCACGCGGTGCAGGGGCCCGAGGACTTGGGCCCTCGTCCACTGCTCCCCAGGCCAGGGCGGGATAGAGTTAGGATTTGTCATGGCCGTGCTTCTGTGCACGAATCCGAGGGCGCGCTGTGGGGTCGGTTCTGCGGACGCTGCCGGCACCGGGCCCAGCACAGCCGCGCCTCGGTCCAGGGGAACCGTGTGGCCTTCCTGGCATCCCCAGCGCCGGGCACGCGGTGCTCACTCCCACGAGGGCCCTGGCCCTGGTGTGTGCCGCGGCTCTCGGAGCCACCGCTGCTGGCACCAGCCGTGTTTGCCGCCCCGAGGCCACACGCAGCCAGCGGCTCGGGGCTGCACAGTTTGTCGTGTGGTCTGCACCGGGCCCCTGGCCTGGGCCTGCCAGAGCCCAGCCACTCCCAGCACAGGGCCTGCGCTGTGTTCCGCGGCGGCGTCGTGGTTGGTGCGCTTCATTTGCTTTCAAGAGGCAGAGAGCTCTGTGCGCCGGTCACGCCCCACGTGCCTCCCTGGCAGGGGCCGGGCAGGGCCCAAGCTGGAGGCCAGGGCTTCTTCCTGGGTCTCCACGCAGGGGTCGGGGCCCAGCCCAGTCACTGCGCTGTGGGCCGCGGGGGTGTGGCCGAGCCACAGGCCCGGGAGCACCGAGGTCCGGCTCTGCCGTGCACACCTGGGCCCTGCTCTCCGTGTGTCTAGGTTTTGGCTATGGCCCTCCGCCCCCACCGCCGGATCAGTTTGCCCCTCCAGGGGTCCCCCCGCCACCTGCCACTCCAGGGGCAGCACCGCTGGCCTTCCCGCCGCCTCCGTCGCAGGCCGCCCCAGACATGAGCAAACCCCCGACGGCCCAGCCGGACTTCCCCTACGGTCAGTATGGTAAGTGCTGTCGGGCGCACGGCGCCGCTCTGGCTGGCTGGCTGGCTGGGCGGGCCTGGGCCTGCTGAACCCGGTCTCTGTCGGGTCCTGGCGGCAGGCGCCGTGGAGAGCGCGTGGCGGCGGGGCCGGGCCTCTGGCCTGACGCAGCCGGGGGAGGATTTGTGCCAGGCCCCCAGGAAGGCGGTGCGGCGGCCCGGCGGCCTCGGCGTCCCAGGCGTGGCCAGGGCTGCCGGCAGCACCCGGCGGGGCAGTGGCGGCGCAGGTCTCGGCGCCCGTGCGTGCGCCCGCGGCAGGGCCGACACCCGGGGCTTCCTCGCGGCCACGCGGGCAGACCAGGAGTGTGGGAGTTTGGCTCTGAGGCGCCGCGCTCCGCCGGCCGCGCTGTGCTGGCGACTCTGGCCTGGGGCAGCGAGAGGCGGCAGGGTGGGCGTGGCCGCTGCCCCTCCGCCGTGCCGGCCGGCGCGGGTCCGTCACCCCGGTCTCGTCTCTCGCCAGGCCTGGGTGCCCACTCTCCAGAGCCGCTGGGCTTCGGGCCCACGCTTTGTTTACTCTCTCTTATGGTCAGGCCGAGCGGTGGTGTGGCCTAGGTAGGTGCCGCCTTTTCTCCACGGTCCCCACCCGCCTGCGCCGAGCGGACGTGGCGCCCCCTGCCGCCCCGGGGGGGTGGACGCCGGCGGTGCTCCGTGGGGTGGTGCCCCTGCTGGCCACAGATCAGCCGGACCCCGGGGCCACACGGTGCCCGCGTGCAGGGGAGCGGGGCCGCAGGAGCCCCCGCGGCCGCCAGGTGCTGCAGTTGGGGCCGCCCCCAGGGCCGCCGCCCGCGGTCTCGTGTCGCCTCTGAGAGCCCGGCCGGCGCTGGCAGGGGGCTGGTGCAGGCGTCCATGGAAACGGTGACCGCTGTCTGGGTGGCCGTCTGAAAGCCACGCGGCCACTGGACACAGACCTGGCCGGCGCTTGGCGCGGCTGCGGGTCCCGCTCGGTCGCCAGTGCCTGGACGCCAGGGCCCGGAGGCGGGGCCGGTCCTCGGCGCGCGGGGCCTCTCGGCCAGCGGCTTGTCTGGGTCTGGTGGGCCCCCTGCGGCCCGCCCCGCGGAGTCCCCGCCCAGCTTGTCACCGGCTGCCCGGCCGCGGCGCTCACCGGCGCTGTCTCCCAGCAGGTTACGGGCAGGACTTGAGCGGCTTCGGACAGGGCTTCTCGGACCCCAGCCAGCAGCCCCCCTCCTACGCGGGCCCCTCCGTGCCGGGCTCGGGGGGCCCCCCCGCCGGCGGCAGCGGCTTCGGACGAGGGCAGAACCACAACGTGCAAGGCTTCCACCCGTACCGACGCTGACGCGGACGCGGACGCGGACGCTGACGCCGAGCGGCCGGCCGCGCGTGCGCGTGACAATCAGGCCTGGCGGGCGGGCGGGGCGGCGGCGGGCGGGCGGCTCTTTGTTTCGGCCATCAGCACAAAGCAGGAGCGCCACGGGCCAGCCGCGGGCGGAAGAGACGTCTTCAGCTTTAATTGAGAACTTCAGGTTTCTTTCCTTCCTTTTTGAGATTATTTTCCTGAGCCTTTGGTTTTACCGTATATTGTAAACTTTTATGTTAAAGAAAAATATACATTTACAAATTGTGAGATTTTTAAGAGAAATTTTCTACGATGTATACTGGCTTATTTTTTAATTTAACACAGGGTTCCGTCGGCACTGGCGGGGGGCGGCGCGGCCCCCACCCCTGCTCGGGCGTGGGACGTGTCCGGAAACTCTGGGAGCGCAAGAAACCTGCTGAGTGTTTTTGTTTCTGTTTATTCCTCGCTCTTGTCGACCGCCTGCCTGGTGGCGCCTGCAGGTCGCGTGGGCCGGGCCGGGCCGGAGGCCTCGGGCCGCGCTGCGGGCCCGCGTGGCCACCTCGACCCTGGTTTGAATAAAGAGAAGTGCGTTTGGATTAGCAGCTGCACCGTGTCCTCTCCTTCCGCCCCGGGGAGGGCGGCGTGGGCGCCTGTGCCTCCCCGGGCCTGCCACGCGGGGCCCTTGCGGGCCTCTGGGGAGTGAGCCTCACTCCAGGTCATCACGCCGGGCGGGAGGGCGGAGTTCCCTGGGCAGGGAGGGGTCCCGGCAGGCCCCTGGGCGCCAAGCCCACCCCCGAGCTGGCAGGCTCAGCCACTGTTCGGAGAGCGGTCTGTCTGTCCCCAGCTCCGGGGTCCTTGGGCTGAGGCTGGGCCTTCTGAGCCCCCGTCTGCCGCCCTGGGCCCTCTCCCGGGCCCGCCCTCCAGCAGGGCTGCCTGGCCCTGCGCCGCCACAGGCGCCCCTTGGGCTGGCGCCGCCATTTTGTGTGCTGCCTTGTTCTTGTTTGTGTGTGTGTGTGAAGATTCATTTATTTGAAAGCCAGAGAGAGAGAGACGGAGAGTGGAGAGGGGTGAAGGGTGAGGGGAGAGGGGAGAAGTAAAGGGGAGAGGAGAGGGGAGGGGAGGGGACAGGCGAGGGGGAGAGGGAGGTCTCCCACCCGCTGGTCCACTCCCCAGATGGCCACAACGGCCGGGGCTGCGCGGATCCGAAGCCAGGAGCTCCATCCGGGGCTCCCACGCGGGTGCAGGGCCTCCCAGGCCACAGCAGGGAGCTGGACCGGAAGTGGAGCAGCCAGGACTCGAACCCGCGCCCACATGGGATGCGGCCCTGCAGGCGGCGGCTTTACCCGCTACACCACAGCGCCGGCCCCACTGGCTCCATTAATGCCGCTTTCTTCTGAGTGTTTTAGGTATTGGTAACAATAAGAATTGGCAATCTTACCGAGTTTTTAGACGTTTGAAGGGCAGGGAGAGAGAAGTGCCCACCCCCTGGCTCGCTCCCCAGATGCCCAGCTGGGCGGGGCAGGGCCTCCGAGAGGTCTCCCACGCGGGCGCAGGGGCCCACGCCGCTGCCTCCCAGGACGTGATGGGAGGTGGGGCAGCCGCTGTGACCGGGATGTGGTGTCCGCGTGCCACAGCGCCGGCCCCTCAGCCGTGCCTGACCGGGATGTGGTGTCCGCGTGCCACAGCGCCGGCCCCTCAGCCATGTCTGACCGTGATGTGCCCGCGTGCCACAGCGCCGGCCCCTCTCAGTCCTGTCTGGGATGTGGTGTCCGCGTGCCACGGCGCCGGCCCCTCAGCCATGTCTGACCGTGATGTGGTGTCCGCGTGCCACGGCGCCAGCCCCTCAGCCATGCCTGACCGTGATGTGGTGCCCGCGTGCCACGGCACCGGCCCCTCTCAGTCCTGTCTGGGATGTGGTGTCCGCGTGCCACGGCGCCGGCCCCTCAGCCACTTCCAAGCGCACACTCCGGTGGTTACGGGACCCTGACCCAGTGCAGCCCCCGTGTGGGGTTGGGGCACCCAGGGGCCTCCGGGGTGCGGCCACGCAGTCCAGCCGTGGCTGCCCGGCCAGCGGGGCCGGCACCCTTCCCTGAGCAGCAAGTCCCTGTGGCTCCTTGCTTTTTGGTGTTTTTTGCTTGTTTTGAGATTTTATCCATTTGAAAGGCAGAGTGATGGAGCTTTGACCCCCTGGGTCACCCCCCAGCTGGGCCGGGCCAAATCCAGGAGCCAGGAGCTCCGCCCGGGTCCCCCACGCGGGCACAGCCCCCAGCACTCGGGCTGCCCCAGGCCACAGCAGGGCGGAGCAGCCGGGGCTCCAGCCGGGGGCGGGCCGGCCACAACCCACGTGTGCCACGGTGCGGCCACGAACCCCTGTCCCCACCATCTGTGCGTGGAAGTGTGGGCTCTGTGCACCCGAGCAGATCGCTGATCAGACGTGGCTCGGCTGGGAGGGGTCGCGCCACGTCCTTCGCTGATTCTAAGAGGGACGCTGACCACGCAGATGTCCACCACGGCCGAGGCCGGGCCAGGCCGGAGCCGGCAGCCAGGGGCCCTGCGTCAGCAGCAGTGCTGGCGTCACGAGTGGAGCTGGCGCGTGGGTGTTTCAGCCCCAGCGCGCGCGTGCACGCGACTCCTTGATAATCGGCCTGTCCATCTATGCTGGACACCGGCCACCCAGCGCTGCAGCTGCTAATGTCACGTGGTTGTGTCCGGCTGGATCCGTCCCCTCCCTGCCACCATGGCCCTCTGTCTGGAGTCCGACCGCCTACCAGGCAGCGGGGGCTCCAGTTGGGTCCGCGGTGCCCCCTGCAGAACCGGAACCAGAAGTCCTCCGCAGCCTGCAGTCCGCCCTCCGAACAGCAGAGGGCGCGCGTCCGCCGCAGGGTAGGCGGAAGCGCGTGCGCGCGCACGGCGAGAGGCGGGGCACGCAGGCGGCCTCGCGATAACTGCGCGTGCGCGAGCTGCACGTCCTCTTCCGGGAAGCCGACAAGATGGTGAGTGGTGCGCGCTGGCTCCTCCGCGGGGAACGTATCGGGCGCCATCCGCGCTCTGCGGGGACCGCAGCGGGGTCCCGGGCTGCCGGAGGGACTCTGCGGGTCCCCAGGGCCGCCGGATGAGGGGCGCGGGCGGGTGCGGGGCGACCCGGGGCGGGGAAGGTGCGAGGCGGCCGGCTTGTCCCGGCTGAGCCGCCCTCGGGGGTCTCCGGCCTCCGCTGACCCCCGGGCCGGCCCGCGCAGGCGGAAGTCGAGCAGAAGAAGAAGCGGACGTTCCGCAAGTTCACCTACCGCGGCGTGGACCTGGACCAGCTGCTGGACATGTCCTAGTAAGCGGCCGGGGCTGGGGCCGGGGTCGGCGAGGCCGGCGCGGCGCGGCGCGGCGGGGAGGGGGCGGGCGCCCGGGACGACCCTGCAGCTCTGGCCGGGGCTTCGGGGGCCGGCGTGGCGGGGAGGACTCGGGGCTCAGGGAGCCGACGTGGCGTGGCGGGAAGGGGTCCGGACGCCCGGGACGACACCGCGGCTCTGGCCGGGGATCGGGGCTTGGGGCCGTGGGAGTCGAGGGGGCTCGGGGCGGGGACCGGGGTCGGCGAGGCCGGCGTGGCGCGGCGGGAAGGGGTCCGGGCCCCCGTGACGACCCTGCAGCTCTGGCAGGGGCACCGGCGTGGCGGGAAGGGGTGTGGGCGCCCGGGACGACCCCGCGGCTCTGGCCGGGGCTCGGGGCGGGGGTCGTCGTGGCGGGGAGGACTCGGGGCGCCGACGTGGCGTGGCGGGAAGGGATCCGGGCGCCCGGGACGACCTCGGGGCGGGGATCCGGGGGGACTCGGGGAGCCGACGTGGCGTGGCGGGAGGGAGTCCGGGGCTCGGGACAGGGTCCGGGACTCTGAGCGGGGGTCCGGGGGGCTCGGGGCGGGGTCCGGGGGGCTCGGGGCGGGGTCCGGGGCTCGGGGCGGGAGTCCGGGGGGCTCGGGGCGGGGGTCCGGGGGACTCCGGGCGGGAGTCCGGGGGGCTCGGGGCGGGGCTCCGGGGCTCGGGGCGGGTCCGGGGGACTCTGAGCGGGGGTCCGGGACAGGGTCCGGGGCTCGGGGCGGGGGTCCGGGGCAGGGTCCGGGGCTCGGGGCGGGGGTCCGGGGCTCGGGGCGGGTCCGGGCTCCGGTCCCCCGCCGACCGCGCCCCCCGCCCGCAGCGAGCAGCTGATGCAGCTGTACAGCGCGCGGCAGCGGCGGCGGCTGAGCCGGGGCCTGCGGCGGAAGCAGCACTCGCTGCTCAAGCGGCTGCGCAAGGCCAAGAAGGAGGCGCCGCCCATGGAGAAGCCGGAGGTGGTGAAGACGCACCTGCGCGACATGATCATCCTGCCCGAGATGGTGGGCAGCATGGTGGGCGTGTACAACGGCAAGACCTTCAACCAGGTGGAGATCAAGGTGAGCGGGCGGGGCGGGGCCGGGGTCGGGGTGGGGATGGAGTGGAGGGGGCGGGGCGGGCCTGACTGCTCTGGGCGGGGCGGGCCTGACGCCGCTGGGGGGCCGGGCCTCCCCCTGCCCGCCGCTGACCCCGCCCCCCCCCCCCCCCGCCCGCAGCCCGAGATGATCGGCCACTACCTGGGCGAGTTCTCCATCACCTACAAGCCCGTGAAGCACGGCCGGCCGGGCATCGGCGCCACGCACTCCTCCCGCTTCATCCCGCTCAAGTAGCCCCAATAAAGCGCGCTCCCGCGTGGCCGTGGTCTGCGTCTCCTTCCTGGCGGGCGGGACCCTCGTCCTCACACTGCGTGTCCCGTGCGCCGCTGGGCAGAGCTGACAGGATCCCGGGGTGGGCGCGGGCTGCCATCCGCGGCGGCTTTGGGGGGCGTTGGGGGGCGGGTTCCGCGTGGACGTGGAGCCACGGGGAGGGGGGAGGTCCCGTCCTTCCCGGCAGGAGGGGCCAGTGGCAGGTGCGATGCGGCAGGCCCCGCCCACTGAGGCCGGGACCTCCTGGCCGCAGCCCCGCGCTCGCCCCGGCTGCCCCACTCGCGGGCCCGTCCCTCTCGCGGGGGACCTGGAAGAAGTCCCCGGCCGTTGTGGGCGTGAGGAGTGAGCCAGTCCCCGGAAGACCTGTCTACCTCTGCCTTTGAAATACACACAGTGCTGCCTCGTGGGGAGCGGCCCGCTGCGCGTCACGGGAGCCCCTGACGTCCCAGGGCTGCCCGGCTCCCGCCGCTGCCCCAGCAAGGGCTGGGAGTGCCCCGGGGTGGGGGGGATAGAGTCGGCGCCCGGGGTCCACCCAGGGCTGCGCAGAGGCGCGTGCGCCCTGGAGCGGCCGGGCCCGGCCTCCCGCTGCACCCGGGGAGCTCCAGGCGCGCTCCGGGCTGTCCTTGGGGAGCTGCCCGGGGCTGGCCTTGGACCAGGAGCTGCAGGGAAGGGCTCGGCGCGGGACCCCCTGGCCTTGGCCCTCGCGCTCGGCCTGCTCCCTGGGCAGGAAGCCCCAGGCCGGTACCGCCCCCTTGCGAAGGCCGCCCCAATCCCGCTGCAGCCTGCCCCGCCCCGCAAGGCAGGAGTGCGCCCCCCCCCACACCTGCTGCCTGGCGGGGCTGTGCTCCGAGCCAGGGGCCAGGCCTCCCAGCGGTGGCGTGGGCGATGTCCGCCGCCGCACGGCCGCCTGTCCCCTGCTGTCCTGGGGCTGCGCGGTGTGCGAGCACCGGGCCTGGTGGTCCGGCGTCCGTCCCGGCACCCTCGTCCCCAGCCAGCTCCCGCCCCTGGGCCCGCGTGCTGGTCTGTCCCCTGCGCCGCCGGCAGGGGGCGCCTCTGGGCACCGCGTCTGCCGCTCGCCCGGCTCCCCGCGTCGTGCCGCCCCTTCCCCTCGGGTGCCACGCGGGACTCTGCAAGTGTCAGTCGCTCCCCGCGCCCCACTGGCGCCTCACTGGCCTGGTTCCTAAGGGCCGGGGTTTGGCTGTTTGGTTCTTTGTAGACGGACCGACACACAGCAGGCGCCTAATAAGTGTTCAGATTACTGAGTGAATGCGGTGTGGCCCACGGCGCCCTGCTCGGGGTTCGGGGACCTCGGCGCGCGGCGGGCGTCTGCAGCGTCTCCGTGCCCCTTGGCGGGCCCGGCAGGCGCCCGAGCCGCCGCACGCACCGCGGGGCGCCCCGGCCTCCGCGCGGCCCCTTCCAGCTGCTCAGGGACCGACCGTCACCCTGTCACCCTCCAGTGCCCAGCGCGTGGCCCCCGGCCCCGCCCCCACCCCCTCCCCGTGAGGGCCGGCAGCCCCGGAGACGCCCCGCCTCGCCCCCTTCCGGGGGAGCTCCGCCCCGGCCCGCGGGGTGGTTCCGCCCTCTGCGCAGGCGCAGGCTGCCTCCGCCGCAGCCCCCCGCCCCCATCCCGCGGCCGAGGGGCGGGGCGCGGGCTGGTCCGAGGCGGCCGCGGCTCCATGGGGCTCCTGGCGCTGCTGGGCCTAATGCACTCGGCCTTTCTCGGGGACCAGGTAGGGCGCAGGTGTCCTGCCTGTCGGTGGGGGCGGGCTCCGCCCCTGGACGCGGCCGGGCCTGGGTCTGCACAGCTGGAGCGGCGGTCTGCGTCGGGGGCGGGGCGAGGTGGCAAGCGCACGGAGACCGGAGGGGTCGGGGTCTGGCGCAGTCGCCCTGGAGACGGTTGCCAGGGAAACTGCCTCGGGATGCTCGCGGGGCTGGGAGCCCCTCCGTGCGCCGCGGCGACCCCCCCCCCCGCAGGTCTGCGCAAGCGCAGGCCTCGCCCTCCCCAGCCCTCGGTCTTTGAGGGAGACCCTCTGACCCCTCCCCACTGCGCGGACAGGGACTGGGGCCTGCTGGGGCCCTGCCGCTGGGGCGCACGGCGCGGAGACGCGTGCGCAGGGTGGGGGGTCCGGCCACGCCCTACACCCCCGCAGGTCCTCAGTCTCCCGCTCCGTACGCCGCGCGTGGGGCGACCCCGACGTCGCTCTGATTTTCACGCGAGTCATCCATCCCTAGCGGTCTCAGCACTTCCCCGGCCTCCCCGACGTTCTGAATCCCGGGGCTGAAACGTCTCCCACTTGAGGGAAACTGAGGCTGGGGTGCAGCGGGGAGCGCAAGGTCACGCCTCCGTCAACGCAGAGCCTGGGCGGGCGCGGGGCGGGGGAGCTGTCCGCGGTGCTGACGGGGCGCGCACCTGGGGGACCGAGCCGCCACAGGGCGCGGCCTGACCGCAGCGGGGCCCTGCCTGGCCTGCCCTGGCTCCCAGCCTGCGGGCCGCCCCTGCCATGTGCGGGGGGCTGCACCTGCCCCTCCGCCCCCACCCCGGCACGGAGTGGCTCGGCGGTGGGGAAGGGCCAGCCGAGTCCGGAATGAGGAGGCCCAAGGACACTGACCCCTGTGGTGTGCAAGGCCTTGGGCCAGGGCTGGTGAGGAGCAGGGTTCTAGAACTCGGCCCACGGTTTTGCCGGGTGCAGTGGGGGGTGATGTCCCAGAGGGTTGGGGTCTCAGCCTTCCAGGACCTGGCCATAACCCCCTCCCGGGGCGGGGGGGGGGGGACGGTTCCAGGGGCTGACTCCGCCGTCTGCTTCCTGGCTGAGCCTCAGTGAGCCCGTGTGCACCAGGATGGGACTGGCCACGGGGCCTCCCTGCCCACCCCCACCGGGAGAGGGCCTTGGCACTGGGGTTTAGCTCCACTGGGCTGGAGGACAGGGACTGTGTAAGCCCCCTGCCAGTGCACCCAGCTGGAGGCTGAGGCCGGAAGAGAGCCCCCCCCCCAAGGTCACAGGACGGCGGAGGGGAGCCCCGGCTCTGCCAGCCCCGCCTTGCTCTGGCCTGGAGGCCCGGGCGAGCCCCACTCCCACCCTGCAGCACCCCCAGCGCCTGGCCCCTCCCAGCCCGCCCCCAGCCCCCAGCAAGGGGCCTTACCCTAATAACACGCAGGCCAGCCACGCCCAGCTCTGGAGGCCCTGGGCTGCTGGGGTCTCCAGCCGCGTGGCTCCTGGGCACCCCGAGGCCGTGGCGCCGCCCAGCCAGTGCAAAGCCTCTCCCCATACGGCCGAGGGGGCCGCGGAGGGCGCTGGCCGTGCCCTGGCCTCCCAGCCTGCCACATCCCAGGTCCTCGGGCCCGGCCACCTCCGCACCCTGCACGGGGGCTGCGGGCTCGGCCCTGGGCGTCACCGGGAACTGGGGCGGGGGTCAAGTGTGGGACAGGGTAGACACTGGGGTCGCGGGAGGGAGACAAAGACAGGCTGGGGAGAGCGGGCTCTGAGGGTGACTGAGGCCCCCAGGCCCTGCGGGGAGGCAGGGAGAAGTGGGGGGCGGGGGGGCTGCCCGGCCCCCCTCGCCCGACAGCGGGACCCTGGGGAGTTCCAGCTGGACCTCTAAATTGTGGGGAGGGGCTTGAGCCTGCTCTGAGATCCCACACCCCCTCCCGGCTCCCACCGAAGGCTCTGATGTAACACCCAAGACTCGGGCTTTGCTCAGACCCTGCGCACCAGCAGTGGAAGAGGGTTCGCCTTACACGGGGGGGAGGGGGGGGACACGGGCCCTGGTCCTCGGGCGCCCCTCACTCACGGGGGGGTCGCCCACCCCCGGAAGACGCAGCCCCTGAGCCCGGCGCAGAGGCTCGCCGCCCCGCGGCTGCCGCCGGGCCCCGCCCCGGGCCGCCATTGGCTGTTGCCATGGCACCAGCCCGTCTTCCCGCGCCGCCATTGGCTGCTGCGCCTGCATCCCGCATCCCGCACCCTCCCCCGCTCGCGGTGGCCTCGTCCAACGCCGGGAGCGGCGGCGCCGCCTGGCCAGGCCCGACCAGGCTTTGTCCACCCTGGAGCCCCGTGCCCGCGCCGCGGAGCCCGCGCCCTGCGGCTACCCCGTGGCCGGGCCGGGATCCCTGCCGGGGCGCGCGGAGAACGGGAGCCCCAGGCCGGGGCGCCCCAGCGCAACTGCAAGTCCGCGGGTGCGTGTTCCCCGGTGGAGGGCGGGGGCGGGGCTCCCGCAGACGCCGGAGCCGGAGCCGCCCTCCCGCAGGGCATGGGCTGCGGGGACCGGGCCCGCCAGGCCGGTGTCCCTGTCGCTTCGGGGCGGGCCCCTGGCTTCGGGTCTGGGCGCCAAGGTCCCCTCCTGCTAAGAGGGGGAGGGGCCGGCGTCCACTCCTGCTCGGTCAGGAGGCCCCCTGACACAGCACCCTGAGCGGGGAAGGGCAGGTAGGGGGACTTCCTGGAGGAGGTGGCACCGTGACGGACGGCAGGAGTTAGGAAAGATGCTGTAGGCCAGGCCGGGGTCGGAGGGGGACCACGGGGCTCTGCCTGGCGACTTTGGGAGCTCCTGCTGACCGTGTGGGAGGAGTGGACTTGGGCTGTGGGAGGCCAGGCTGAGGCTGGTGAGAGGGCCCTGCGGGGTGCCAGGCGGGGATGCTGGGGTCACGGGAGTGACCCCTGACTGTGGGACATGGGTGTCAGGGGAGGCTGGGCCTGGGCCACTGCAGAGCCACGTGGGGCAGCCGTGGGAGGGGCCACGTCCATCGTGGTCAGGGCTGCGGGAGGCCGTGGGGCATGGGCTGAGGGGCAGATGGGCACGCCTTGTCCGCTGCCCCCACCTGGCTGGCCTCGGACCCTGGTTCTGTCCATGTGGCCCCCATCCAGGCTGGTGTCCGGAGAGACCCTGACCTCGGGTGGGAGGCGGGGGCTTCCCGCAAACCCAGGCGTGGGGAGGGGGCGGGTCTGGGTTCCAATCGCACCCCAGTTCCTCCCCTGGGAACCAGCTAACTGTGGCAGGGAAGCAGCCACAGCCTGGCACGGGGGGGGGGGCGCAGGGGTCTGCAAATGGGTTGGCTCCGCCCCCTTCACCCCAACTCCAGCTGTGCCATTGCCAACACCAGGTGGGCTGGGGGCAGCAGAGGAGTGACAGTGTGGGGCCAGTGGCGGGGGGCGGCGTCCCCAGTGGGCAGAGCAGGGCTGGTTTGGGGAGGGGGCTCCGAGGTGGGAGGCGGCAGAGGGGATGAGCTGTCATTGGCTCGCCGCAGACAAAGACGGAGGGGGGCGGAGAGCGCGGCCGGGAAGGGAACAAAGAGGAAGGGGCCGTGGGGAGGGGGAGCAGGAGGGCCAAGCTGAGGGGGGAAGCTTCGGCCAGCTGGACAGAGGGAGGAGGCTGGGCTGGGGCACGGACAGAGGCGCGGACACCCCCGCGAGACAGAGCAGGGGCTGGGGCGGGGCAGCCCCCTCCGGCGGGCACCGCGCGGGTGCCGCACACGCGGGGGCTCCAGGCGCAGGGCCGCGGGGCTGATCGTGTGGGCTCACTCCACCCCCAGGGCCTCCCTGCGCTTCCCTGGCCACTGCCGGCCGACCCCCACGGAGCCCCCTTGTCCGTCAGCTGGGCCACGTGCCATCTGCCCGCCCAGCCGGCCTCGGGGGGGCCGTGAGCACTGGCACGCGGAGGGGGGGCCGGCCCGGCCGGTCCACCTGGGGAGAAGCTGCCGTCCACGGCGGCCTGGCCTGTGTGTCTGCCTGGACACCAGACATCTGCCCGGGGGCCCTGCCGCTGTCCCCACCGGCACTCCCCGCATCTCTCGGGGTCCACGGTGGCCCTGCGCGCGGGGCCCCGGGGCTGCGGCTGGCCGCTGGCGCGCGCTGACCCCCGGCCCCCGCCCCAGGCGCTGCAGGAGTGGAAGATGAGCTCCGCCGCGTCCTACGAGCAGCTGGTGCGGCAGGTGGAGGCCCTGAAGGCCGAGAACAGCCACCTGCGGCAGGAGCTGCAGCACAACTCCAGCCACCTGTCCAAGCTGGAGACCGAGACGTCGGGCATGAAGGTGCGGCCGGGGGGCGGGTGTGGTGGCCGGGGGCGGGGCGGGGGCGGCGGCCGGGGGGGCGGCGGCACAACTCCAGCCACCTGTCCAAGCTGGAGACGGAGACGTCGGGCATGAAGGTGCGGCCGGGGGGCGGGGGTGGCGGCCGGGGGGCGGGGCGGGGGCGGGGGCGGCGGCCACCCACAGCCGGCTCCTCCCCTCCCCAGGAGGTCCTGAAGCAGCTACAGGGCAAACTGGAGCAGGAGGCGCGGGTGCTGCTGTCCTCGGGGCAGACGGAGGTCCTGGAGCAGCTGAAAGGTGAGGCCGGGGCTCCCCCGCACGCCCCCACCCCCCGCGCGGGAGGGCGGCCACGCGCTGACCGCTCCCGCTGCCCCCCCGCCCCCCCGCAGCCTTGCAGATGGACATCACCAGCCTGTACAACCTCAAGTTCCAGCCTCCCGCGCTGGGGCCCGAGCCCCCCGCACCGCGCACCCCGGAGGGAAGCCCGGTGCACGGCCCCGCGCCCTCCAAGGACAGCTTTGGGGAACTGGGCCGGGCCACCATCCGCCTCTTGGAGGAGCTGGACCGCGAACGGTGAGAGCGTGGGAGCAGGACCCGGGCAGTCACGTGGCCGCGCCCCACCCCCTCCCCGGGTTCCTCCGCCAACCACGGCTCCGCCCACCACCTCTGACCCTTTCCGCAGCGGGTGGCCCGCGGCCTCCTGGCCAGGCCCAGCGGACTGCCCACAGCGGGCCAAGAGGACGGGCCGGGGGTTCCCGACACACAGGCGTCGCTAGGGGCGGGCGCTGTCCGGTGCCAGGGCCCAGGGCGGCCTTTGTAGAGAGGGGGCCGCCGTCCAGGAGGCCCGGGCTGGGGGCCAGCAGGGGCAGGCAGGGGCCCGGTGCCCGGTGCCCGGCTCGGCTGGGGTGCGCGCGTCGACTCCGGAGTAGCCTGGGGGTGTCCGCGCTCGGGCACGGCCGCCGCCCGCCTTCCCACCCTCAGGCTTCCGCTCTGGGGAATGGGCGTGCGCTGTCTCGGGGGCTGTGCTGCACGCGGGGCGCCGAGCGTCCGGGAGCTGGGGGAGGCCTTCCCCGAGGCGGGGCGCGCACCAAGGAATCGGCGCCAGGCCCCTCGCTGGCCCCCGTCACGGGTGGGCCCCAGCCCCAGCCCGGCCGTGGCGGAGCCCGGAGTGACCCCGGCCGCCCCGCCCCCGCCCCCAGGTGTTTCTTGCTGAATGAGATCGAGAAGGAAGAGAAGGAGAAGCTGTGGTACTACTCGCAGCTGCAGGGCCTGTCCAAGCGCCTGGACGAGCTGCCGCACGTGGAGACGGTGCGCGGGCGCGGGGCGCGGGCGCGGGGCCTGTCCAAGAGCCTGGACGAGCTGTCACACGTGGAGACGGGGCGCGGGCGCGGGGCAGGGGCGCGGGCGCGGGGCGGGGGCGCGGGGCCTGTCCAAGCGCCTGGACGAGCTGCCGCACGTGGGGACGGTGCGCGGGTACGCGGGCGCGGGGCGCGGGGCCTGTCCAAGCTGCCCCACGTGGAGGCCGGGCGCGGGCGCGGGGCGCGGGGCCTGGCCGCCCCCTCACCGCGCCCGCGCGCGCCCCCCAGCAGTTCTCCATGCAGATGGACCTCATCCGCCAGCAGCTGGAGTTCGAGGCGCAGCACATCCGCTCGCTGATGGAGGAGCGCTTCGGCACCTCGGACGAGATGGTGCAGCGGGCGCAGGTGCGCGGCCGCGGCGGGGGCGGGGGCGGGGGGCGGGGCCTTGGGGGCGGGGCGGGGCCGTGGGGGGGTCCCAGCGCGCCTGTTTCTCCCGCGCAGATCCGCGCCTCCCGCCTGGAGCAGATCGACAAGCAGCTGCTGGAGGCGCAGGACCGGGTGCAGCAGACGGAGCCCCAGGTACGGGGCGGGGCGTGGGCTGGGGGCGGAGCCGGGACGCGGCCCGCCCCGCCGTGGGGCTGACCCGCCGGGCCTGGCGCGCCCCCTGCAGGCGCTGCTGGCTGTGAAGTCGGTGCCCGTGGACGAGGAGCCCGAGGCGGAGGCCCCCACGCACCCCGACGACGGCGCCCCTCAGCCCGGCAACAGCAAGGTGAGCGTGCGGGGCCGGCTGCCCTGGGGCGGGGCCGCGGTGCGGCGGGGACTCTGCCTCCTGGAGCCCCCGGGCGGCCCAGCCCGACCGACCCCAGCCTCTGCCGGCAGGTGGAGGTGGTCTTCTGGCTGCTGTCCATGCTGGCGACGCGGGACCAGGAGGACACGGCGCGCACGCTGCTGGCCATGTCCAGCTCGCCCGAGAGCTGCGTGGCGATGCGGCGCTCGGGCTGCCTGCCGCTGCTGCTGCAGATCCTCCACGGCGCCGAGGCGGGCGCGGGAGCGGGCGCGCGCGCCAGCGGCCCGGGGACGCCGGGCGCCAAGGACGCCCGCATGCGCGCCAACGCGGCGCTGCACAACATCGTCTTCTCGCAGCCGGACCAGGGCCTGGCGCGCAAGGAGATGCGTGTGCTGCACGTGCTGGAGCAGATCCGCGCCTACTGCGAGACCTGCTGGGACTGGCTGCAGGCGCGCGCCGCGGGGCCGGACGGCAGCGCCGGCGGGGGTGAGCGCGCCCCGGCCTCGAACGTGGGCCCCGGCCTCCACCGCGCGCCCCGGCCTCCACCGCGCGCCCCCGGCCTCCACCGCGCGTGCCCCCCGGCCTCCACCGCGCGTGCCCCCCGGCCTCCACCGCGCGCCCCCCGCCTCCACCGCGCGCGTGCCCCAGCATGGACCGCGCCCCCCCCCCGCAGCCTCCACCGCGCGCCCCGGCCTCCACCGCGCGCACCCCCGGCCTCCACCGCGCGCTCCCCGCAGCCTCCCGGCCTCCACCGCGCGTGCCCCCCGGCCTCCACCGCGCGTGCCCCCCGGCCTCCACTGCGCGCGCCCCGGCCTCCACTGCGCGTGCCCCGGCCTCCACCGTGCGCCCCGGCCTCCACCGCGCGTGCCCCCCGCAGCCTCCACCGCGCGCGCCCCGCCTCCACCGTGCGCACCCCGGCCTCCACCGCGCGCCCCCCGCAGCCTCCCCCCCCCCGCACCTGTCTCTGGAGCCCGATGACAGCTGGGTAGAGCAGACCCCCGCCGCCCCCCCCCCGTCCCCTGCCCCCCTGCCGCTGTTGGTGGCGCGGGCGGGGCGCAGACCTCGGTCCCCGTTTCTGCCGCTGGTCGCACTTGGCCCAGCACAGGCGCCCGGCGGGCGTGCGGGGTCTGAGCCGGCCCCTCGCCCACAGCCCCGGTGCCCATCGAGCCGCAGATCTGCCAGGCCACCTGTGCAGTGATGAAGCTGTCCTTTGACGAGGAGTACCGCCGGGCCATGAACGAGCTGGGTGAGCCCCCCCCCCCAGCCTCAGCTCGTGGTGGGCGGCCTCCGCGGGCCCGGGCAGGTGCATGCGTGGGCGCTGGCCTGGCGACGCTTCAGGGACGTTATGAGGGCTCCCCCCTGGCCGCAAACACGGGCGGGAGGTCCCCATGGCTGGACATGCGCCCGCCCTCCACTGGCCACAGCCGGCGGCCGGGGCCCTGGGCATGGTTTTGTTTTTTCAAAGATTTCTTTAGTTTTATTATTTGAAAGAGAGTTATGGGGGGGGGGGACAAAGAGGGGTCTTCCATCCGCGGGTTCACTCCCCAACTGCCCGCGACGGCCAGAGCTGCGCCCATCCGGAGCCAGGAGCTCCATCCGGGTCTCCCACGCGGTGCAGGGGCCCAGCCTTTGGGCCGTCGGCCACTGCCCTCCCGGCCGTCAGCTCCCCGGCCCCTGTCCTGACCAGAGAGGTAGCAAGAGACGACTTCAGCTTTCCTGTGTCTGCCCTGACGCGGCTGTCCACCCCTCCCCCTCCCTGTCTCCCACCCCTCATCCCCCATTTTGCTTGAGAGGTATCCACTGGGTCAGGCTGAAGCCAGGAGCTCCATCCGGGTCTCCCACGAGGTTGGGGGGCTCAGGGACTGGAGCCGTCGCTGTCCCGGGCACACCAGGGAGCAGGGCCAGGCGCCGTGGTCCCCAGGGGCCTGGGGGGTGGCGCAGCAGGTGCAGCCACTCCCCATCGGAGTGCCTGGGAAGGCAGCAGCCGCCCCCCCCGCCCCCGCCAGGCCAGAGGCGGCAGCTCCGGCTCCAGCTCCCGCCCCCCGCCCGGCCCAGCCCTGCTGTTGCAGGCGTTTGGGGGTGAACCAGCGGATGAGAGATGTGTCCTTGCTTTCAACCAACAGTCGCACGTTTGCGGTTAGAGTTCACAGCGGGGTGCAGGGAGTCTGGGGCCCCTGCTGGGCCGGGCCTGACCCCGGGTGTCATAACCCCGGGGGGGTGGCTCCAGCCCCTGGAATCGGCTTCGGAGCCCCCAAAACCTGGGGGTGTGCACGGGGTCCTGATAGGCCGAGGGCGCGGGAGAGCCTCGGATCTCCTCCCCGCCCGGCGTCTCAGAATTCGGCCAACGCTGACCACGCCCGAGCGCAGGGCTCAGGCCGCTGCCTCCGGCCAAACGGAGGCCCCATGGCCGGGGCCCTCACTCCTGGCTCCAGCCCCGGCCCCGGGCACCCCTCGGCCCCTCCTGGCTCTGGACCTCCGCGGGGGGGGGGGGGGCACAGGCAGAGGCTGCCGGCAGGAGGGAGGGGTGGTGGGCGTGGCCCGCGGGGAGAGCGCGCCCCAGCCTGGCCGTCCCGGTGCCCGCAGGTGGGCTGCAGGCGGTGGCCGAGCTGCTGCAGGTGGACCACGAGATGCACGGGGTGACCCGGGACCCCCTGAACCTGGCCCTGCGGCGCTACGCGGGCATGGCCCTCACCAACCTCACCTTCGGAGATGTGGCCAACAAGGTGAGGGGCGGTAGGCAGGGTCTCGGAGCCTGGGGGTGGGGTCAAGGGCCTGGGGGCCAGGTCGCCGGGCCTGGGCAGCCGGCGGGGGTGGCGGGACGCCCCCTGTGGACAGCAGTGCTCACCGCAGGGTAGGGGCTCTGGCCTGCGCCCCTGCTGGGGGCGGGGCCTTCCCCAGGCCCTGCCTGCCGTGACCCCGGCTGTCCTGTCGCCCCCACAGGCCACGCTGTGCGCTCGCAGGGGCTGCATGGAGGCCATCGTGGCCCAGCTGGCCTCGGAGAGCGAGGAGCTGCACCAGGTAGTGGGGTGGGGGCGCCCCGCGTGCTGGGCTTGGGGGAGGCCGGGCCCGGGGCCCACGGTGCCGCTTGCCCCGGCCTCAGGTGGTGTCCAGCATCCTGCGCAACCTGTCCTGGAGGGCGGACCTCAGCAGCAAGAAGACCCTGCGGGAAGTGGGCAGCGTGTCTGCGCTGACGCAGTGCGCGCTGCGGGCCTGCAAGGTGGGCACGGGGGCAGGGGCGGGGCCGGCGGAGGCGGGGCGGGGGCGGGTGTCCTGTGACTCCAAGGCGGGGCTAGGGGCGGGGCCGGAGGAGGCGGGGCCAGGGCGGGTGTCCTGTGACTCCAAGGCGGGGCTAGGGGCGGGGCCGGCGGAGGCGGGGCCAGGGCGGGTGTCCTGTGACTCCAAGGCGGGGCTAGGGGCGGGGCCGGCGGAGGCGGGGCGGGGGGGCGGGTGTCCTGTGACTCCAAGGCGGGGCTAGGGGCGGGGCCGGCGGAGGCGGGGCCGGGGCGGGTGTCCTGTGACTCCAAGGCGGGGCTAGGGGCGGGGCCGGCGGAGGCGGGGCTGCGTATGGGCCCTGACGCTGCAGCCCCGCCGGCACCTGTGCCCCCGCCCCCAGGAGTCCACCCTCAAGAGCGTGCTGAGCGCCCTGTGGAACCTGTCAGCGCACAGCACGGAGAACAAGGCGGCCGTGTGCGCGGTGGAGGGCGCCCTGGGCTTCCTGGTGAGCACGCTGACCTACAAGTGCCAGGGCGCCTCGCTGGCCATCATCGAGAGCGGCGGCGGCATCTTGCGCAACGTGTCCAGCCTGGTGGCCACGCGCGAGGACTACCGGTCAGTGCGGGCGGGCGGGCCGGAGAGGGAGACGGGAGGGGGAGAGGGAGAGAAGGGAGAGAGGGAGAGATGGGAGGGGGCGAGGGAGAGGGAGACGGGAGGGGGCGAGGGGGAGAGGGAGAGACGGGAGGGGGAGGGAGAGAGGGAGACGGGAGAGGGAAAGGGAGAGACGGGAGGGGGAGGGGGAGAGGGAGAGAGAGGAGGGAGAGAGGGAGAGATGGGAGGGGGCGAGGGAGAGAGAGACGGGAGGGGGAGAAAGACAGAGAGATGTGAGGGGGAGAGAGAGAGAGAGATGGGAGGGGGAGAGGGAGAGAAGGGAGGGGGCGAGGGAGAGGGAGATGGGAGGGGGAGAGGGAGAGAAGGGAGAGAAGGAGAGATGGGAGGGGGCGAGGGAGAGAGAGACGGGAGGGGGAGAGAGACAGAGACAGAGACAGGAGGGGGAGAGAGAGACAGAGACGGGAGGGGGAGAGGGAGAGACGGGAGGGGGAGAGACAGAGACGGGAGGGGGAGAGACAGAGATGTGAGGGGGAGAGAGGGAGAGGGAGGAAGAGAGGGAGAGGGAGAGAGAGGAGGAGGGAGACGGGAGAAGGGGGGAAGAGAGGGAGACAGAGAGACGGGAGAGAGAGAGGGAGAGAGACAGAGACAGGAGAGAGAAGGAGAGGGAGGAAGAGAGGGAGAGAGAGAGGGAGGGAGACGGGAGAAGGGGGGAGAGAGAGACAGGAGAGAGAGGGAGAGGGAGGAAGAGAGGGAGATGGGAGGGGGAGAGGAAGTTGGGGGAGAGAGGGAGACAGGAGGGAGAGGGGGAGGGACACGGTTGGCAGGGAGCCGGCGCGGGGGCGGGGCCGCAGTACTGGAACTGGCGCTCAGATCCGAGATGCTGGTATCGCAAGTGGTGGCTTTTTACATAATCACAACACCTGCCCTGAATTTTACTTTAAAATTTATTTGAAAAACGCAGAGACACACCACCACCACCCCTCCTACCTGCTGGTCCACGCTCCCAAATGCCCGCCACACCCGCCCTATCCCCGGAGGGTGGGGCGGGGTGGGACATCGGCTCTGCCCACCCTATCCCCCCGAGGGGCGGGGCCGTCTGCTCTGACCGCCCGATCCTCAGAGGGTGGGGCGTGGCCGTCTGCTCAGCCATCCGCTCACTCTGGCTGCCCTATCCCCGGGGGGCGGGGCCATCTGCTCTGCCCTATCCTGGGGGGCGGGGCCTTCTATCTGCCCTATCCCCCGGGGGCGGGGCCTTCCGCTGGCTGCCCTATCCCCGGGGGGCGGGGCCGTCTGCTCTGGCTGCCCTATCCCCGGGGGGCGGGGCCTTCCGCTGGCTGCCCTATCCCCGGGAGGCGGGGCCGTCTGCTCTGACCGCCCTATCCCCGGGGGGGGGGGGGGGCGTCTGCGCTGTCGGCCCTATCCCCGGGGGGCGGGGCCTTCCGCTGGCCGCCCTATCCCCGGGGGCGGGGCGGGGCCGCCTGTTCCTGCCACACGTGACCTGCCCCCTGCCCCCCCAGGCAGGTGCTCCGCGACCACAACTGCCTGCAGACGCTGCTGCAGCACCTGACCTCACACAGCCTGACCATCGTGAGCAACGCGTGCGGCACGCTCTGGAACCTGTCGGCCCGCAGCGCGCGCGACCAGGAGCTGCTGTGGGACCTGGGCGCCGTGGGCATGCTGCGCAACCTGGTGCACTCCAGGCACAAGATGATCGCCATGGGCAGCGCCGCCGCCCTGCGCAACCTGCTGGCCCACCGGCCCGCCAAGCACCAGGCGGCCGCCACGGCCGTGTCCCCCGGCGCCTGCGTGCCCAGCCTCTACGTGCGCAAGCAGCGGGCGCTGGAGGCGGAGCTCGACGCCCGGCACCTGGCGCAGGCGCTCGGCCACCTGGAGAAGCAGGCCCTGCCCGAGGCCGAGGCCGCCGCCAAGAAGCCGCTGCCGCCCCTGCGGCACCTGGACGGGCTGGCGCGGGACTACGCCTCCGACTCGGGCTGCTTCGACGACGACGACGCGCCGTCCCTGGCCGCCGCCACCGCCGAGCCCGCCAGCCCGGCCGTGCTCTCCCTCTTCCTGGGCAGCCCCTTCCTGCAGGGCCAGGCGCTGGCCCGCACCCCGCCGGCCCGCCGCGGCCTGGAGCCCGAGAAGGAGGCCGGCGGCGAGGCGGCCGCGGCGGCCAAGGCCAAGGCCAAGCTGGCGCTGGCGGTGGCGCGCATCGACCGTCTGGTGGAGGACATCTCGGCCCTGCACACCTCGTCCGACGACAGCTTCAGCCTCAGCTCCGGGGACCCCGGGCAGGAGGCGCCGCGGGAGGGCCGGGCGCAGTCCTGCTCGCCCTGCCGCGGCCCCGAGGGCGGCCGGCCGGAGGCGGGGGGGGGCACCCCTGCTCCGG